CTATCATAGAGCTGGAAGGGACCCCAAGGACTATCTCTATCCATCCATCCATCCGTTCATCCATCTGGCCATCCATCCATCCATCCATCCTTCTATCCATCCATCTATCCTTCTATCTATCCGTCTATCCATCCGTCTATCCATCCGTCTATCCATCCGTCTATCCATCCATCCATCCATCCATCCATCCATCCATCCCTTCTTCTGTACATCCTTCTATCCATCTGTCTATCTATCTATCTATCTATCTATCTATCTATCTATCTATCCATCCTTCTATCCATCCATCTATCCATCCATCCATCCTTCTATCCATCTGTCCATCTATCTATCTATCTATCTATCTATCCATCCATCCTTCTATCCATCCATCTATCCATCCATCCATCCTTCTATCCATCCTTCTATCCATATGTCTATCCATCCATCTATCTATCTATCCATCCATCCATCCATCCATCCATCCATCCATCCATCCATCCATCCTTCTATCCATTCGTCCATCCATCCATCCATCCTTCTATCCATCCTTCTTCCCATTGGTTTATCCATCCGTCTATCCATCCATCCACCCATCCATCTGTCCATCCATCCCTCTGTTCATCCATCCATCTATCCATCTACCCATTTACCCATCCACCCACCCACCCACACTAGATGTAGAAGGGACCCCCAAAGGCCATCTAGTCCAGCCCCGTTCTTCGCTTGGAGTCGTTTGTAACTCGGGGATTGCCCATAATGACAGACCCCCCTCCGATGTTTGTCTCCCTAGAAGTCCTACCGCCACTACATGATCCTGAGCATCGCCCAGAGCACCCAGCAGCTGGTGCTGACCGTCTCAGGACAAGGCCTCGAGCCGCGCCTGGAGTTCAACCCCTCCATTGTGGAACTGGGCCCCCTCCTGCCTTACGCCTCGGGTGACGAGGCCGAGGTGGTGGTGAAGAACCCCTGCTCCTTCCCCATCGAGTTCTACTCCTTGGAGTTCGACCAGCAATATCTCCTAGAAGAACGGGTAAGAGATGCGCTGGACCCTCCCCTCGGCCAGGAACGCAGGCTCTAGAATGGCCCCATGGATTTATTTTGGGGAGGGGGGAAGGAAGGGATTACTTCTTTGGCTGTTTGCTTATCTATCCCATCTTTGCCAATCCTGAGACTCAAGGTGCTTTATGACATTAAAACCAGAACAGACCCAATTTGGCATCGAGAAGATCTAGAGAAGGTTGACTATAGCAACTGTATTTCTTCACTTGTAAGACGCCATTGATCATAAGACACACCCTAATTTCAGAGATGTTTATAGAGGGGGGAAGTGTGTCTTTGCATAGACAAAATACGGTATCTACCTACCTATCATAGAATCTTAGAGTTGGAAGCGACCCCAAGGGCTATCTGTATTTATATATCATCTATTCACCAACTCAACTATCCATCTCTATCTATCCATCCATCTATATTTGTACCCTTATCTACCTACTGTATTTCTTAAGTTGTAAGGCACCATCGATTGTAAGGTGCACCCTCATTTCAATACCAACAACAACAGAAGTATATAAGATACACCTGTTATTGTAAGATACATCCCATTTTGAGATATGTTTAGATAGAGAAAAAAGCGTGTCTTACAATCAAAGAAATACAGGATCTCTCTCTCTCCCCCCCCCCCCCCCCCTCTCTCACCCTCTATCTATCTATCTACCTATCATAGAGCTGGAAGGGACCCCAAGGACTCTCTCTATCCATCCATCTATCCATCCATTCATCCATCTGTTCATCCATCTGGCCATCCATCCATCCATCCTTCTATCCATCCTTCTATCCATCCGTCTATCCATCCGTCCATCCATCCTTCTATCCATCTGTCTATCCATCCGTCCATCCATCCATCCTTCCTTCTATCCATCCGTCTATCCATCCATCCATCCATCCATCCATCCATCCATCCATCCATCCATCCTTCCTTCTATCCATCTGTCCATCCATCCATCCATCCATCCATCCTTCTATCCATCCATCTATCCATCCATCTATCCATCCATCCCATCTATCCATCCATTCATCCATCTGTTCATCCATCTGGCCATCCATCCATCCATCCATCCTTCTATCCATCCGTCTATCCATCCGTCCATCCATCCTTCTATCCATCTGTCTATCCATCCATCCGTCCATCCATCCATCCTTCCTTCTATCCATCCGTCTATCCATCCATCCATCCATCCATCCATCCATCCATCCATCCATCCATCCATCCTTCCTTCTATCCATCTGTCCATCCATCCATCCATCCATCCTTCTATCCATCCATCTATCCATCCATCTATCCATCCATCCCTCCATCCTTGTATCCATCTGTCTAGCCATCCACTCATCCATCCATCCATCCATCCATCCATCCATCCATCCTTCTATCCATCCATCAATCCATCTATCCGTCCATTCATCTATCCGTCCATCTATCTGTCCGTCCATCCATCCATCCATCCATCCATCCATCCATCCATCCATCCATCCATCTATCCATCTACCCATTTACCCACCCACCCACCCACCCAATCATCTATTTATATCTATTTACCTACCGTATTTCTTCAATGGTAAGACGCCATCGATCATAAGATGCTCCCTAATTTCAGTACCACCTCCACCAACAAAAGGACATCAGATACACCTGTGATCCTAAGTCATGCCCAATTTTTAGGGATATTTATGTAGGAGGAAAATGTGTCTTAGAACTGAAGAAATACAAGTGCATGTCAAATTAAAATATGCCCATGAAAACAGCAGCGACAAATGGGGTACAGCATCCTACTCAAGGCTTTGTTACCTTGCCTGGTGGAGCCTTAACCGGTCCCTGGTTCTGGGCTTGATGCTGGGTTCTGTGGGCCCACAGAGTGATGGCATGCCTTCCTTCCTTCCTTCTCCCAGATCCTCCGCATGCTGAAGGGCTACGACTCCCACCACGTCCTGCTGCTGCCGCCCCGCATCCCTGGGGATAAGCTGCCCCCCGAAGTCCTGGAGTTCTATGAGGAACAGAAGAAGATCCTAGGTGACCAGGAGGCCACCAATGTGGAAACCGGTGAGTGGATTTAAAGATCAAACAGCAAAGACTCTGGCACAAGTCATTCAAGAGGTCCCAGTGGTGATGGGCACACTGGGTACAGTCCCTAAAGACCTTGGCCTGCACTTAAACACAATCGATTTCTTTCTCGATTTCTTCTTTTTGCAACACTAAATACACTATGTCCTGTTTAATTATCAGATTGCATTTTCCTCCCCAAAAAGGCCATCCAGTCCAACCCCTTTCTGCCAAGAAGCAGGAAAATTGCGTTCAAAGCACCCCAGACAGATGGCCATGCAGCCTCTGTTTCAAAGCCTCCAGAGAAGGAGCCTCCACCACACTCCAGGGCAGAGAGTTCCACTGCTGAACAGCTCTCACAGTTGGGAAGTTCTCCTTCCCTGTAGTTTGAAGCAATTGCTGCATATCAAAGCACCCCTGACAGATGGCCATGCAGCCTCTGTTTCAAAGCCTCCAGAGAAGGAGCCTCCACCACACTCCGGGGCAGAGAGTTCCACTGCTGAACAGCTCTCACAGTTGGGAAGTTCTCCTTCCCTGTAGTTTGAAGCAATTGCTCCACATCCTAGTCTCCAGGGCAGCAAAACAAGCTTGCTTCCCCCTCCCTATGACATATTCCCCTCACCTCTTGATCCCTGGCCCTCATCCTGTCTTCTCTCAGCCTTCTCTTCTGAAGGCTAAACATGCCCAGCTCTTTCAGCCACTCCTCATAGGGCTTGTTCTCTAGATCCTTGATCATTTTGGTCACTCTCCTCTGGACACATTCTAGCTTGTCAATGTCTCCCTTCAATTGTGGTGCCCACACTTGTAAGTCACCATCGTGCAGGCTTTCCTTCTGGCTTGGTGCACTCATATGGCAGAAAGTCCAAAAGTCACAAAAAGGAGCTTGGTGATTTCCACTGAGCCAAAAGAGGGAGCCCTGCAGCGCTGAGGTCGAAGTTTGTCCTTGGTTCTTGGGAAACTATAGCTCCTTCCAAGGGCTGGAGCCTGGTGATCGGTCTGCTCCCTGGAAGCCCTGTGGGGTAACCGCATCAAGTCTCCAGGGCAGGGGGCTCCAGAAAGACGAAGAAGCGGCAAGAACAGCGACAGCGCAGCAGCAGCAGTGAGGCTCGGATTTTGACAATCAGCTGTTTTCCTTAAAAATATTCTTAATAAACCAAAGGTTATTCCCTGAGCGTAGGAGCCCGAAATGCAAAAAGTGAGATGGCAGATAGGGTTAGAATTGAGTTAGGAAAAATATGGCATCGAAATGGAGTCGATCCGTCAACTTGCGGATACGGGGGCCCGAGGGGTTTCCGTATACGCGGTTTGAAGGAACGCAGATTCGGCCTCCCTGGGACGCCTCAGAACCTCTGAGATGGCTCAGAACCTTCTATAGCTGCTCAATAAAACCCAGAGAGTGTTGCCCATTGACGGGGCCACTTGGGTTCACTGTGCCATCCTTCCCTCCCCACTGCAGTAGACGAAGACGTGGCACCCCTTTCTGAGCCCGGAATGAGGCCTCAGCCTTCCAGCACCGGGCAAACCGTCTCAACAGTTGGCTCGCTCCTTCATTCCCTCTCGGTCCATGAGGACAACCGGAGCTTCAGGATAGAATCTAAGCTGGACCAGGAGGAGGAAGAGGAAGAAGAGGGGACGGACAAATGCCAAGCGCAAGGTGAGGAGCGGGTCTCATTGCGTCTCCAAATGCACGGCCGCGTTGCTTTCCCTGCTCCCAGAGACTCAACGGCCAAGGGATGGAGGCCCAACTCCAAAGCGACACTCTGCTGCCACCTGGCGGGAGGCTTCCAAAGAGGCAGCTGTAGTCTCCAATGGGACTGTTGTCTCAGTTGTGTTACCAACACTTGACAAGGTTTCCTAAACACAAACCGGAGAGGGTTTGGCACGCTGAGCCCACTGAGGCCTCCTTTCCCTTCTTCCATCAGCAGGGAGCCAGCTCAGCCTGGTGGCCAAGCACAAGGAGGCCGTGGGAGAGCTGGACAACAACCCCGTCTCCAAGGCCATTGCGCGCCACTTGGGCATTGACATCTCTCCGGAGGGGCGGGCGGCCAGGAACCGCAGGGGCATCGCCATCATCATCCACGGAGCCCCCCTGACAGGTACGGCCGGCACAGAGAGGGCCCCCTCCATCCACACCTTGCTCTTCACTAATAACATTCTAACCTAGAACGGAGAATATTTTTTTCGGTGGCCTGAAAAGAAGAGCCGAGGAAAGGGCTCTTATCGCTTAGAACAGTAGTTCTCAACCTGGGGTCCCCAGATGTTTTTGGCCTACAACTCCCAGAAATCTCAGCTAGTTTATCAGCTGTTAGGATTTCTGGGAGTTGTAGGCCAAAAACATTTGGGGACCCCAGGTTGAGAACCCCTGACTTAGTAACTTCTAACCCAGAGCATTCCTGTCTAGAACATGCTAACCTAGAGCCCCATGACCTAGAACACCAATTTAGAGAACAAAGAATATTCTTTGCGTGGCAATCCAAGAAGAGCTGGGGAAATAGCTATCTAGCGTAGAACCTTCTGACCTAGATCCCTATCTAGAACACACCAACCTAGACCACAATGGCATAGAACCTAACCAATATCATTCTAACCTCAAACTGAGAATATTCTTCATGTGGTGGTCCGAAAAGAAAAGCTGAGGAAAGTGCTCTTCTCAGAACCTTCTATCCTAGAGGCTTCTGGTCTAGAACCCAGTGACCTAGAACACCCACACTTAGATCATTTTAACCTAATACAAGAAAGATTCTTTGTGCGTCAATCCGAAAAGAAGAGCCGAGGAAAGGGCACTTATCACTTAGAACCTTCTAACCCAGAGCATTCCTGTCTAGAACATGCTAACCCAGAGCCCCGTGACCTAGAACACCAATTTAGAGAACAAAGAAGATTCTTTGTGTGGCAATCCGAGAAGAGCTGGGGAAAGAGCTCTTCTAGCGTAGAACCTTCTAGCCTAGAACCTGATCTAGAACACACCAACCTAGACCACAACGGCATAGAACCTAACTAATATCATTCTAACCTAAAACTGAGAATATTCTTCATGTGGTGGTCCGAAAAGAAAAGCTGAGGAAAGTGCTCTTCTCAGAACCTTCTATCCTAGAGGCTTCTGGTCTAGAGGCCAATGACCTAGAACACCCCAACTTAGATCATTATAACCTAAAACGAAAAAGATTCTTTGTGCATCTATCCAAAAAGAAGAGCTGTGGAAAGGGCTCTTCAAACTTAGAACCTTCAAACCTAGAGACTTCTGGTGTAGAACACTCTAACCTAGAGCACCCTTCTACACTGCCCTATATCTCTGGATTTGATCCCAGATGATCTTCTTATCACAGATTATATGGCAGTGGAGACTCATATAATCCAGTTCAAAGCAGATAATCTGGGATCCTGGATATCGGCCAATGGATATACAGCCTGAGACTAAGGCCCCTTCTACACATCTTGATAAAATCCAGATTATCTGCTTTGGATTGAATCGTATGGCAGTGTAGACTCAGACAATCTAGTTCAAAGCAGATAATGTGGATTATCCACCTTGATTTTCTGGATTCTGTGTCAGTGAAGAAGGGCCCTAGTGCAGGATCTATACTGCCATATAATCCATATAATCAAAGCAGATGGTCCAGAGTGTCCACTTTGAACTGGACTCCTTTCTGCACTGCCATATAAAACCCAGATTAACTGCTTTGAACTGGATTGTATGGCAGTGTAGACTCAGATAATCCATTTCAAAGCAGATAATGTGGATTACCTGCTTTCATAATCTGTATTATACACCAGTATAGAAGGAACATGTATTATACGAGTACATACTGCCATATAACCCAGTACAAAGCAGATAACCTGGATTTTATATAGTGTCATGTTGCCAGGGCTCAGCTTTATTTAGGTAGAGATGAACCAAACTCCCACAGAAAACAATAACAAAGCCTCAAGTAAAGAGAAACCAATTTCTGATTGCTAGTGACCTAGCTAACGAGGGGATAAAAGTCTCAAGTTTGGGATGTGTAGTCAAATGAAGCATTGTTTAGAATCACGCCAAGTTCTCATCCTTGTTCAATGTCACGTTGCTAGGGCTCTACCTTATTTAGGTAGAGATGAATCAAACTCCCAGTTTTATCAAACAGTTTAATGTAAACAGCACTTACTTGCTGGCTGTTTTAATAGAGCAAAATATAAAACAGAAAGATAGCACTCAACCACAGAGTAAACAAAAACTGATAGCAAAAGCTACACCGTAGTCAAAGGGTCCAATCCAGTGGTCAAATGCCAAAAGTTCAATAAACAAAGTCCTGGGATCAAGAGTCAATACCATAGTCAAAAGCCAGACCAAAGGTTCAAGGTTCCAGGGTTCCAAGATTACAGAAGACAGGTCAGGATACCGAAAATCCAACAGACCTGGGGGGAAAACCAGCAGCATCCACCACCAAGATCACTTTCAAGGCTCGCTCCTTAAATCCAGTAACACCCAGCTGCAACCTATCTCTTGCATACCTCCACCCTTAATTGCTTTCACCCATGAACTCTTACTTACAGATTACTAAACCCTTTAGAACTAATACTTACATTAACCCTTCCATCACCAAGCACCATCAGCTACAGAACGTATGACATCTAGCAGTGCAGATGCACCCTCAGATGCAGTGAAATCCACCCTGCCTGCTTGGAATACCCTCCGAAATGAGATTAGGTTAGTCCCCACTCTTGACTCCTTCTGATCCAGCCTAAAAACGTGGATTTTTAAGTGGAGTGAGCTCCCATCTGTCAACTCCAGCTTCCCATGTAAGGACACAACTTCAAAGTTTCTCAAGTTCCTTCTGACACGATAAAATTTTTTTCTCAAAAACGACCAGTTCTTCAACCGAGTCAAAGAGCATGCAATGACAGTTGGTTTTAAGACTAGGAAGACTCAGTCCTTCTCTTGTCTTATTGTTTTGTAATACTTTGAATCTACGCCATGGTCTTTTTCCTTGCCAAATAAATACGGATAGATCTCTCTTTTTTTGCCATTGTTTAAATGGAATGTCATTCAGTATAATTGGCAAGGCTTGAAACAGAAACAGCAACGTTGGTGGCACATGTATCTCTATAGCTGAAGCCCTACCCATAAGAGAGAGCTGCAAACCTTTCCACCTATGGAAATCTTTTAAAGACTTCTTTCCGTGTTAAGCTGCCTTTTGACTCTTTCAGTGCTTTTGCCTGTCTTGAGAGTTTGCTGTGATCTCTTTATCCGATCTTCGCAGGGAAGACAGGGGCGGCTGTGACCATGGCCAAGCACTACAACGCCGCTTGCTTGTCCATTGACGCCATCGTGATGGAGGCCATCTCCGAGCGGAGCAGTTTGGCAGGGCTTCGGGCGCGGGAGCTCTGCATCCGAGCGGCCATTGAGCAAGCCCAACGAGAAAACGAGGAAGGAGGCGAGTGTTGTGGTTCAGCCATATGAAGACGAGGGGATTGGTATTCCAGAGCCCGGGAGAGTGGTGGATGATTCTTTCAATGAGGAAAATGAGGGGATTTTAGCTTAAGATCCAGGCTGTGAGAATAGGTTTGAAAGTGAAACTGCTTTGGAGTCCAGCAGAGAGGGAGATGCAGTGGCTGGTGGAGACTTTTTGCCTAGTAGTGTCATAGCAACCCCTGATAAGAAAGCAGATGGGCGAGAAAGCTCACCCAAAAACACACTTGTGTTTAGCAAGCATGTCAGGCTTGATTTTAGGGAGGATTCATAGAATCATAGAGTTGGAAGAGACCTCATGGACCATCCAGTCCAACCCCCTGCCAAGAAGCAGGAAAATTGCATTCAAAGTACCCCTGACAGATTGTCAGACTGTAGGATCTATGTAGCAATATTAAATAACCACTCACAAGCCGGTTATGCTTTGAAATGGATATATTGCTTGTATCTCTTTTTCCCACCACCACTTCCTTTTATACACCTTTCCTGCCCATCTCCCCCTCTTCTCAGTTTCCTTATGAGAGCATGTTGCTTCACAAGTTCCCATACAAGGCTTCCAGCGCCCTCTGCTGGCTTCAAAATGTCACAGAGGAGAGAATTGATTCAGCCAGGATGATTCAGTCAGGATGCCACGGAAGGAATTTGTGATGTCTTCATGCCATCAGAAATAAACTCCTGACAAATGGCCATCCAGCCTCTGTTTAAAACCTTCCAAAGAAGGAGCCTCCGCCACACTTCGGGGCAGAGAGTTCCACTGCTGAACGGCTTTCACAGTCAGGAAGTTCTTCCTAATGTTCAGATGGAATCTCCTTTCTTGTAGTTTGAAGCCATTGTTCCGCGTCCTAGTCTCCAGGGCAGCAGAAAACAAGCTTGCTCCCTCCTCCCTGTGGCTTCCTCTCATATATTTATACATGGCTATCATGTCTCCTCTCAGCCTTCTCTTCTTTGGGCTAAACATATCCAGCTCTTTCAGCCACTCCTCATAGGGCTTGTTCTCCAGACCCTTAATCCTTTGAGTAACCCTCTTCCTCTGGACACATTCCAGCTTAGAGTCAACATCTCCCTTCAATTGTGGTGCCCAGAATTGGACACAATATTCCAGGTGTGGTCTAACCAAGGCAGAATAGAGGGGCAGCATTATTTCCCTGTATCTAAACACTATGTTCCTATTGATGCAGGCCAAAATCCCATTGGCTTTTTTGCTGCCACATTAAACAAGCTAAGGAATTTACAAACACTCTGTGAGAAACAACAGCGTGAGAAAGCTCACAAGCAAGGGAGCCAAGGTCACAGAAATGCCTTCATGGCTTGTGGTCCTTATATCAGAGAAGTATCTCCTTTAGAATTCAGATCAGGCAACGCTGCAAAGCAGTGAGGATCTCGAACCTTGTTTTCAGTTTTGAGTTCTAAGGTCTTGGGAAGTTTGGATTCATGTTTTGGGAAGTTTCTATAGTGTTGCTTTTGGATTCATGTTCATGTTTTAATTCTCGTTCTCCTAGATTATGCTTATGTTTTGATTCTGGTTTTTCCTGTGCCTTGTTTTATGGAACAGATTTCAACTGTTTGGAGTGTTTTTCCCTATTGCCAGTTTGGATTGGCTTATTACTCATGGGTGTTGCAACCCAGAGAAGGAAATGAGGCCCTAAGATAACCCTCCACCACACTTGACTGGGAAAAAACAATTCTTTTTATTGATGAAAAATGATTACAAAATAAAGGAAAAATGCAAAGTCAAAAGCCACAGCAAAATCAGCAAACATGAATGTCCACGAACAAGATCAAAAACCCAAAACCACACTGTAAAATGCTGGAACCTGTTAGCAATCCACTAACCGTACTTGGTGTCCTAGAAATCTCTCAAGATGATGGCCAGAGGAACCGGGAGAACTGCCAAGGTCTTCCTCAATCTAAAACGATGCCTGAACTGAGAAAGTCAGCCCGGCGGAAGGCACTTAAAGCCGAGGAATTGGTTTCGTGATACGCCTCCCTGCTTTGAAGCCCTTGTTTGTATTTCTTTTAATCTGGAAGACCTTTGCAAGCTGAGTGATTCACTCCTGTCTTGCCAGATCTGGCCCCTTCTATTCTCATTAAGGTTCCCAGGTGCAGAAGGGAGTGAAAGGTCATGGCTTCCCTCTGAAACATTCTCATGAACACTGGTACTTTCATTTTCCAAATCTACAGAAGTGTCTTCCTCACTAATTTCAGGAGCATTGTCATTAATTTCAGGATCATTGACATCAAGAAGTACATTTTCATTAGCATCAGGAGGTACAAACAGAGAATCAGGTTCAAACTCAGGCTGAACCCCAACAGTTGCCTTGTCATGGAAGAGAACTGACTCTTGCTCCCTCCATGTTTCTGTCTCTCTGTGTGTATTCAGGAGGAGGCGAAGGGCAGCCCGGTCCGAGTTTGGGCAGCAGGCTGAGTGGCGAGGCCTTGGCCAAGCACCCCTCCGATGGCAGCCAGCACAGTTCGGAGTCCAAAACGGGGCCCCTCTCCAACCTCTCCAGAGGCTACCGGGGCAGCACCGTGACCACGAAGGGGAAGCCGGAAAGCCACGGGTCACAAAAGCCGGAGAAACCGCCGCTGCCACCATCGCAGCACCCGCAGTCGGATCAATACGGCTCCCAGGTGAGAGCAGGGCAGGTCATCGTGGGATCCTATTTCTGGGGGAAAGAGCTCTCCTCCCAGGTGAGGGGGTCTCTCAGTGGCTCATCTTCAAAGCCCACTCACTGGCTGGGAGTTTTCACAGTGCCGCTCCCAGGTTCACCAGTCATTCCCCTTTGCACAAAAGACCGAGGACCTTATCACATCGGGATATGCTCAATTTATATGAATGTGATTCCAAAAAGGTCCTGTCACATGACGTGTGTCCTATTCCGTCAGTAGAATCATAGGACCGCATCACATTGGGTTATACTCCGTTTCTGAGAATCTCTGAATGCAATTCCGAAAAGTTTCTGTCGCATGACGTGTGTCCCATTCTGTCAGTAATCTGGAGAATCATAGGACCTTATCACATTGGGATATACTCCTTTTATATGACTCTCTGAATGCAATTCCAAAAAGGGCCTGTTGCATGACGTGTGTCCCATTCCGTCAGTAATCTGTTGGAAACTGTTTCTGCAAAATGTCGCAAAAACTGAGTAATTGCGCATAGGATTCTAATAGTGTTGTTTGGTCTACTACGGTTTTGGGGTTCCATTTTTACATGTGATCATAAAATCAGTATGCTTTTCATCAGCTAAAATCTTGCAAGAACAGTAGCGCGAAAATTCCAGGCTATATTACTGTGCAATATTAAAATTGTTGGAGCTCAGCCTGTGATCACATTTCAGGATCAGGGTGCTTTGGATGGGGGGGAGTGATGTCAATGAGTTTCAAGATGAGTTTCAAGATGGCGATGGTTTGGTCAATGATATTGATGTAGAACAGTGGTTCTCAACCTGTGGGTCCCCAGATGTTTTGGCCTACAACTCCCAGAAATCCTAGCCAGTTTCTGGGAGTTGAAGGCCAAAACATCTGGGGACCCACAGGTTGAGAACCACTGTTGTAGAAGATCCCTGTTCAAATGTAGTTTCCCATGAGAATGTCCCTGAGGGGTGTGGGGATGATGGTGTTCTCTCTGATTTGTCACCAGAGAGTTCTCATGATAGGGAACATGAAAACAGTTCAGCACCTGGCCCAGCTGCAGAAATTAATGAGCAAATAGATAAGACGGGAAGAGATCCGTCAAAACAGGAGAGCTGAACAGTGCCTTCGGCGTTCTGCCAGGCTTCGGGAGAAAAAGATAAGACATTCTCAGCTATATTAGTGTGCAATATTAATATTGTTGGAGCTCAGCCTGTGATTGTGCTTCAGGATCAGGGTGCTTTGGATGTGGGGAGTCACATCAATGAGTTTCAAGATGAGTTTCAAGATGGCAATGGTTTGGTGAATGATATTGTTGGTGAAGACCCCTGTTCAAATGTAGTTTCCCATGAGAATGTCCCTGAGGGGTGTGGGGATGATGGTGTGCTCTCTGAATTGTTACCAGAGAGTTCTCATGATAGGGAACACGAAAACAGTTCGACACCTGGCCCAGCTGCAGAAATTATGCGTGACCGCATCTCCGCTTACGAACCCACGCACTCACTTTGTTCATCCGGAGAGGCCCTGCGTCGCAGGTGCGTTTGGTGGGGATGAGGGACAGGGCCTTCTCTGTGGTTGCCCCACGACTTTGGAACACCCTCCCCAAAGACATTAGACTTGCACCCACGTTGGCAGTCTTTAGGAAGAACTTGAAGACTTAGTTATTCCGATGTGCCTTTCCAGAATAGGAAAACCCCAGCACTATGTCCCAGAAGCACTTTATTAGAGTTTAATACTCTCTGCACATTGCACTTGCCCAGAACTCCAACATACCACCTCACACACCCAGCACTTTTAACCTGTACCCTTCTTTGGCCTGGCCTTGATTTTATTGTGTAATAGTGTAATGTTTTGTTGTGTTATTGCTTATGTTTTAATTTGCTTGCTTCGTTATTGTTTGTTGTTGTTATGTTGAGGCCTTGGCCTTTGTAAGCCGCATCGAGTCCTTTGGGAGATGCTAGCGGGGTACAAATAAAGTTTAATAATAATAATAATAATAATAATAATAATAATAATAATTAATGAGCAAATAGATAGATGGGAGGAGATCAGTCAAAAAAGGAGAGCCGAACAGTGGCGTTCTGCCAGGCTCCGAGAGAAAAAGATAAGACATTCTCAGCTAAAACGAAACCAATTTCTGAGTGCAAGAGACATAGCTAACGAGGAGATAAAAGTCCCAAGTACAGGATATGTAGTCAGATGAAGCACAGTTTGGAATCAAGTCAAGATCTTGTCCTTGTTTTTTGGAAGCTTTGCTTGGAAAAATCATGTTTTAAGTGCTTTTGTTTCATGGTTTTGATTCTTGGAATTTATGCTTTTATATTCATGCCTTGGATTCATGTTTCCTGATTTCTTGCATTCTGTTTGGGAAGTTTTGACTTTGTTTTTATGGACTTTGCTAGACTATTACCCTGGACTACTTTGTTTCTGCTTATCTTCTTACCTAATTGGATTTACCTATTTCTTAAAAGTACTTTTTACTTTCCTGCTTTTTAATTATCTTCAATAAAAGGATTGTTTCCCTATCCAACGGCGTGGTGCTTAAAGTCAGAGGGCTTTTCCTGCCCTAGAGTGCAACAAAAATTAAATAAAAAGAGTGATACAGGGAGGCATTTGAATGGATTGAGAAGAGCCAGCCTTTTGTGGTGTGATGAGTCAAAGCACAGTATTTTCAAAATGTACGAATTGCTTATGATGGGGTCAGTATGCAACCAGTCCTAAAAAAATAATACGGGATGCATACGGATATGAACGGAGTATGCCGCAATGTGATGAGGTCTCTCCTTGAACCTCAATGGCCTGCTTTGAATTGGCATGGAGGGGCCAGTCCCGTGCCCCGTTTCCTGACAGCTACCCCCCCCCTGCGCGCTTTGCACCCCTTCCTGCAGGTCCCATCCAGCCCCATTCCCTGCGGTCCCGTGCAGCGGCGCCTCAGCCTCAGTGCCAGCGTGACAGGAGACTATGGGCTGATGAGCTGCGTGCTTCCCGAGGAGCTCTTGGTCGAGATCCTTTCTGAGAGGATGCAGGTAAGGCCCGGAGGAGGCATTGGTCAGACAGACAAATAGTCATGGATTCCATCTGCTGTTATGGACACTTGCTGACCACAACAGAAGCCACTCATGCCAGTTTCAAGGCCATAGAGCAGTGGTTCCTAACCTGTGGTCTGTGGACCATCAGTGGTTCACAAGAACTAAAATGTTGCAACCCAGGGTAGTTTTCACCTTGTTCCAGACACCACCACACCAAGGCTGTAGGTTTTTGTAGTTTATTGAGAAAAACAAAAACAAAACAAAGAAATAGAAATGCAATAGTTCCATAGCCAAAACAGAGACTTAAATTTAAAGGCAAAGTTCCCAAGATCCAAAGGCAAAAACATGAAGCATAATCCCTTAGCAATGGTCAAACAAAAGTCCATGGTAAACAGTTGAAAACAAGACCCAAATCCCAGACTCAGGAAGTCAGAAGTGTGCTGCGAAAAGCCAAGGAAAATCTCCAGAAGTTAACATGGGAAGAGCAATGTTGGACTGACAAAAACTTCCTGTCAGCTACAAGACTAAATACCCTTTGTGAACATGAAAGCACTGCGTTTACCTTTGGCACCTTTGGCTTCTCGCTTGCTGGCCAAGCAAGTGCTTCTCCGAAGCCTTAATTATTATTATTATTATTATTATTATTAAACTTTATTTGTACCCCGCTAGCATCTCCCAAAGGATTTGATGTGGCTTACACAGGCCGAGGCCTCAACAACACAACATAATTGCAAACAATCTTGTCTGCTCATTAATTCATTATCTTCAAGGCTATGCAACCCCTTATCTGGGTCCAGCTGGGATGGATCCTCCACCTGGCCGTGTGGGATTTCGCTCTTGCTATCAGTCTCTCTAACTGCAGGAACATTCCTTTCCCCGGGGAACGGACTTGCTGTTTCTCTTTCAGCAGCCACACTATCAGCCCCGTCTGAAACATGTACAGGAATCTGTAACCCATCAGCCTCCTCGTCATCCTGCAGGAAGTCAGGCTCAGAAGGCCCAAACAGCTCAGCTTCAGACTCAGAGTCAAGCTGAGTCACAACATAAAATATGGTCCACAGCCTCACCATTACTAGACTGTTGCAACGAGACCGACTGGTCTTGTGAAACCCTCTTATAGTCCTGAGGCTTATTAAATATTATTTGTTTATTTGTTTGTTTGTTTATTTCCAACATTTCTATCCCATCCTTCTCAACCCCCGAAGGGGGGCTCAGGGGGGCTTACAACAGCAGCAATTTGATGCCGACAACATGCAGCATACGAAAATACATTGAGTAGCCGGATCCGGATCTGATTTAGCAACTGACGACTCAGTCCAAACCTGTCCTTGTCAAAGTTCAAATGTTGTGAATACTGCCAAAGCTATTATCTGAATGCCTGGTCCCAAAACCATGTTTTGAGCTTCTTTCCAAAAGAGAGGAGGGATGAAGGCAACCTAATTTTGCTAGGGAGAGTATTCCACAGGTGGGGGCCACCATCGAGAAGGCCCTGTCCCTTGTCCCTGCCAAACATGCTTGTGAAGAACGTGGGACCGAGAGCAGGGCCTCCCCAGATGATCTTAAACTCTGAGGCAGGACTTAGAGGGAGATACATTCAGACAGGTAGGATGGGCCAGAACCAAAGCCAAGACCAGCACTTTGAATTGTGGTCAGAAGTGGACCGACGGCCAGTGGAGCTGGCATAACAGGGGGGTGGTATGTTCCCAGTATGTCACTCCAATGCCGCACATTGGACTAGCTGGAGTTTCCGAACAGTCTTCTAAGGCAACCCCATGTAGAGCGCATTGCAGTAATCTATTCGGGATGTAACAAGAGCGTGGACCACTGTGGCCAGATCAGACTTCCCAAGGTTTCCTGTGGGTGAGCAGATGGTGACTACTGGATGGCATATCTTCAGTATCAGAAACGAGAGCTGATGTGGTCTATCCAATGCAATTTTCTGAATCAGCACCCCAATTAACCAAACCGAATCTAAAGTTGGCCAAAAACTGATTCGTAACCCTTTTGGTACTCGTGTTGGAGAGTGGTCACTGGCCAAAGTGGTCCCTGGTCTGCTTTTTCTTCCCGGGCAGCTCAACGACTGCTATCGCGGGATGGTGTTCGATGGGCTGGAGACCATCTTTGCCCGCAGCATGACGTCCGCCCTCCTCTGCGTCCTCAAGGCCATCAACAACCGGCGTTATATCTATTTCGTGAACCTGATCCAGGACTTTGCCGCGATGAAAGCCAAAGAGAAAAGCAAACAAGAGCAAGAAGGTAAGCGGGAAAGCTGGGCAATGACTCCTCGTTGCATTATTCCCTGTCTCTGTGAGTGGATCCAAGCCACACACCTCCCCCCCCCCATGACAAAAGTCACACAATTTGCACTGTTTAGAGCAAGTCTCTGAGGGCCATGGTTTGACCTGCATCTCCTCAGCTTTGCTGCATCTTCAGATGGCAAGAAACACCATGACGTTGGGGTTGAGGGTGAAGGGACAGCGATGGTGCAAACTTTGGCTGAGGTTTGGCCTCGCGTCCAACTTGAGCCTCGGTCTTCCTTCCTTCTCGGTTCCTATAAAAGAACGAGAGCAGCAAGAAGCCATTGCGCGCGAGAAGGCGCGTCTCCAGGATATGGACGAAGAGGAGTACGATGCCTTGACCGAAGAACAGAAGATCCATTTTGACAGCGAACTCTTGCAGGCTCTGCGGGAGCGGAAGAAAAGGTCAGGAGGGGGCTGTTCCTGGGCCACGACTCCCAATGACTCCTAAAGCCGGTTGGCGCTTTTGGCCCATCTCTCTCTTTCTGCGGAGGTGGTCCTATGGGTGGAAGGGTAACCAAGAGTTGACAGGGTTGGTTGGTGTTTTAGAGAAGGCATGGGCAAACTTTGGCCCTCCCTCCAGGTGCTTTGGACTTCCACAATTCCTAACAGGTTGCTTATATAGTAATATTTTGCTGATATTGTGCCAAAGTTGTAAACAAATGATAAAGACTTTTTCCATCCAGGAACATGTTGATTCCATCTCAGTTTCCGGACAGATGTTGACTCTTCTTAATTGGTGTTGGCCTTGTGTTGACTTCCTTCTTAACATTGCAAACATTTCCTTAACTTAAAAGAGACATTGTTTTTAATTAATGTTGTTTTTTTAATTAATGTTGTTGTTCAACAGTTCATCATTTGTCACAGGTCTCATCAGCAATTTTTAATTAGAGTCCAGCAAGCAGGTAGTTAGTAGGGCTGGGCGGTTTCGTTCGTTAATTTCGTAATTCGTTATTGATTCGTATTTAAATTAGCTTACGATCCGATATTGAACCATTCAGGAGCAACTAAAAATCGAAACAAATTTTTCAATTCATTTCATAATTGTTTCGTAATTGTTTCGAAATCGTTTCGAAATCGTTTCGAAATCGTTTCGAAATTGTTTTGTTATTATTTCCGTATGTCTGGTGCAAGTTTTATAGTTGTTGTTTGTTTTATCAGTGATAAAAAAATAAATTATCACACCAACAGTCAACAACAGAGGGAGAGGGAAGCTTCAGAAGTTCCCCCTGTCCCATTTGGAGGATTTTTTAGCGTATTGCGCAATCGCGTCCGCCATTAATGAATCGATTCGTAATTGTTTCGTAATTTCCGAAATTTCGTATATTTCGAACTTTTTTAAAGAAAAATTTCGGAATTCTTTTAAAAATCGAAACGCAAAAACCCCCTAAAAACGAATTGAGTTTAGAAACAAATTTTTCCGTGGTTGCCCAGCCCTAGTAGTTAGTCGTTTTGTCCTTGCAAGCCTTAATCTTTTAGAATGGTGTCTTCAGCCAAATTAGTCCTTGTCCATACACCTTTCATACAATTCATTCATTCATTCCATGCATCATATTTCATTGTGACAACTGACCGCTCGTTCTCCTTCCGCAATGTCCTTCAGGGAGCAGGAGAGGATGGCGCGGGAGCTGGAGGAGAAGAAGCACCAGCAGGAGCTGGAGCGCCTGCGAGAGGAGGAAGAGCTGCGGAAGAAGTCGAAGCGGTACAAGAGGGAAGTCGCCAAGGAGAAGGAAGAGGCCGCCGCTGCCGCCAGCAAGAAGGGCCAGCAAGCAGGCAAGCCGGTGAGTGCCTCTCCCAGAGGACAGGCAGAGCCACTTGTAACCAAATTCAGTAGAGGAGAGGGGAAATTGAATAACTCCTAGGGATTTTTTTTTGTCATGTCAGGAGGCTTCTGGTGTGAGAGAATTGGCCGTCTGCAAGGACGTTGCCCAGGGGACACCTGGATGATTTTGATGTTTTTATCATCCTTGTGGGAGGCTTCTCTCATGTCCGCATGAGGAGCTGGAGCTGATAGAGGGAGCTCATCCGCCTCTCCCCGGATTCGAACCTGCGACCTGTCAGTCTTCAGTCCTGCCGGCACAGGGGTTGAACCCACTGTGCCACCGGGGGCTCCTTCCTAGGGATGAGAAAAGCGGTATACAAATACTGTGAATAAATAATAATACATTTTGGTACCAGGTGAGTTCATTCACACACACACACACATACGCATACACCTCACCAAGCCCCTCACAAAGAACGGATCCATCTCTCTGCAAGAGTGATGGGAGCAGATGTACTTACTTACTTAGGCGATCCCTCATAGCCTGAGGATGATGGTCCTCCAAGTCTGGTGTCTTGGCGTTGGGTTTGTAGGTGATTGTGGAGTCCTATTCTTGATCCGCATGCTCTCCTGCAGTGAGGACACCGGTTTCCAGGTGGAAGGTGGTCCCAGTCAGGGTTGGCTTGATGTGCCTTTCTCTTGGCATGTTTTTCTCTTTCGCCCTCCATTCTTCGAATTCTGCATCACTGCTGGTCACAGCTGACCTCCAGCTGGAGCACTCAAGGGCCAGGGCTTCCATTTCTCAGTGTCTATGCCACAGTTTTTAAGGTTGGCTTTAAGCCCATCTTTAAATCTCTTTTCCTGTCCACCAACATTATGTTTCCCATTCTTGAGTTAGAAGCATAGTAACAGCCTTTGAAGACGGTGATCTGGAATTGACCAGAGTAAAGCAGAGTAAATATATGCACACACCCGCAATCAACCCTTTCCCTTTTTCCTTCTTTGCAGCTTCTTGGCTCTCTCTGTTCCAAAAACAATCCTGTTTTCCAAAGCAATTCTCCTTCCCGTGCTTCCCGCTTCCCATCTCTCTTTCTCCGTACAGGGGCGGCTCAACCGTTACGCAAAGTAAGCAGTCGCAGTAGAGTTGATGTTGCCCAGGGGCGCTCTTGAGGCTCTCTTGGGGGAAAATAGACCTTGACATGTGAGTTGTAGTTACTGGGATGTATAGTTCACCTACAATCAAAGAGCATTCTGAACTCCACCAATGATGGAATTGAACCAAATATGGCACACAGAACTCCCACGACGAACAGAAAATATATATCAGTGATTGGTTGGGGGGGGGGGCGCCAAAATACTGTTTGCTTACCGTTGAAAATTACCTAGGGCCGCCTCTGTCTACACTGCAGAATTAATACCTCACACTTCTTCTCCCATTGTGCTTGGCAATGCTCTCCCTTTCCCTCCTTCCTCCCTTCTTTGACCCATTCTGTTCCTTTCTGTTTGTCCAGAATGCCACGGTCCCCTCTCTCAAATCGGACGGTAAGCTGAATGAAGGGGTCGAGCGCAAATCCTCTACCAAGGACCGCGCCGAGATGGGCCTCAATGACAAGGATGAGAAGAAGAAGAAGAGCAAGCCGACAGGGCCGAATGAGCAGCCGGCTCTGGCGCAGGAGGAAGAGGAGGTCGAGAAGGAGTTGATGAGCGAGAGCGAGAAAGCCCTGGCTCAGCGCTTCAAGCTGTACGAGGAGGCGCAGAAGGAGCTCCTGCAGACGCTGATGTTCTGGGACCGGGTGCAGCTGGTGCAGCTCCAGCCGCCGGGCTCCGAGGAGAAGGCGGACGAGGCCGAGGACCAGCGCCAGGCCCCCTCGGGCCGCAAGGGCCGCAAGGACCGGGAGCGGGAGCGGCAGGAGCGGCTGGAGAAGGAGCGGGCCGAGAAGGAGCGCCAGGAGCGGGAGCGGCTGGAGCGGGAGCGGCTGGAGAAGCTCAAGGCCATGGAGGACCGGGCCTTCGGGCAGGAGGGCGAGGGCGAGGGCATCGACATTGGCGTGCCCTACCTGGAGATCCAGGTGCTCAGCTCCGAGGAGGCCAGCGGCAAGAGGATCCTGGAGAGCGGCAAGCTGCCGGATGTGGTCCAGGTGAGAGTGTCATATCCTTTTGGCAAATGTAAATCTCCATGAACATCTGGAGACCACTTTTTGAAAACCACTAGTCAAGTAAAGGCATGACCTTGTTAGAAGTCAACCCTTTTGAAAAAGTGATGTTCACAAGCATTTGTGTAATGGCACATCCTTAACTCAGCAGTTAAACTGATGAACCATGTCTTTGAACTGCCAGGGACAAAGGCATGCCATTGCACAAAAACATATACTTACCTAGTTTTACCAAGTTTTGAAAATGTTTCTTTGAAGTTGAAATTGCAGTTGCCCAAAACATATCCCATACTCTCCCTTGAAACCTCTTAGCTTAAAAATATGCACTCCAAAATTTTTAAGTATATATCTTATGAAAGTGCAAACTGTATAACTGCACTCACTGCTTCTCAAAGCAAACATAAAATCAGTCTAGACTTTAGGGGGGTAAACTCCAAGGGGAGATGACCCTTAGTTCCCACCAAAGAGGGAACGCTACCTTGGCGAGCCGTCAGAGAAGCCTGATTCCAGCAATTTTATTAATATTAATAATTGAAATGAGACTCTGCCAAGGCAAAGAAGTGGCACCGAGGTTTATTGTGCGATTCTGCTGAGTCGGATGCAAATGCAGGGATAGCTCACCCACAAGCATACCAGTACATTGATCAGAGGCATATTTATAGCAAATTCAAAATTGCAGAGTTCAAACTCCCCGCCCCGGCTTCCCTGTTGTTCCCTGCCATGATTGGGCGATGGGCAAACAGTTGGGAGGCGGCCCTCCCGCCCCCGGTGCCTCTGGACCAATCAGGAAGCTCCAGTGGTCCGTAGGAACCAATGGGGAGACCTCTGCCACCTGGTGGCAACAGCCAATCAGGAGAGATGGAGGCGGGATGAGGGAGCACAAAGGAATCTGGGAAAGGAGTAAACAAAGGAAATGCCATGTAGCCTGAGACAAAGAGCTCAAGCAGGGCTGCTTTGAGTGTTGTGAATCAACATGTGTCCTGATCCTTCCTGGCTGTGAGACAGGAGAACAATGATGGCAGCCTGAGGTTAATGCTAAGTAAACAAAAGCAGAGGGGAAGATTTCCCCTTATCTTACAGAAACTTTTGTCAAACAATTCTTTACTCTAGTGGGCCATCTTCCGATGCTAGAGATAAGAATCTCCTTCTTTTATCCATGCAAGTGTGTCTTTGGCGGGAGGTTTCAGTAACCGCTAATGGCTTTTGTTTCTGAAGGCCAGGGGGTTCCCTTACATATTTCTTTGGAGGGAGAAGGGGCAAAGGGTCAGGAATACATATAGAAATTATACACAGGGAAATCATATGCAGGTATCTTCCCATCCAGGACCCCAGAGAGAGATTAATAATACCAATTATAAAAAGCAGACGATATCAGGACACAGAATGAATTCATAAGTTGTCTTGAAGAAAGTTCATGGGTAGAGAGCGAGTCCTTAAAGAGAGTGAAGTCCAGGAATGTAGCAGAATTCAAAAAGCCACCAAAGGGAGTCTATGGAGTTCCACTGGGCCAAGACACAAAGCCCTGCAGCGCTGGGATGGAAGCTGGTCCGGTCCTTGGAAAACTACAGCTCTCTCTCTCGAGAGAGAGAGAGAGAGGCAGAGACCCCAAGGTCTAGCTATTCCCAAAGTTTCATGGGGTCCTCATTGTTGTTAAGGCTTTGGCAAATTGACCAAGACTTAACCCCTATTGTGCAGTCTGGTACCTTTGTCCTTGTTGGGGGGGGGGGCATGCTCGACGTCAAACATACAGTAAACTGTTGCTGCATAAGTCTAAAAGACATCCGCTTCCACTGAAGTCTAAAGCAAACTTCTAATGTTGTGGTGGAGTGTGGTGGATAGAGGCTCCTTCTTTGGAGGCTGGATGGTCATCTGTCGGGGTGCTTTGAATGCAATTTTCCTGCTTCTTGGCAGAATGGGGTTGGACTGGATTCATGATTCTTCTGAGGGTCTGTCTCAAAGCTTGCAACCATCTGTTCACTCAAAACAGCAGTGGCATGGTACCTGCCTGGCCCAGAGCTTGACCCCCCATTTCCCCTCTCCTTAGGTCTTGAACGGCTTGGGTTTGGGACCCTCGGGACCCCCCATCCCCCCCACAGCCTTCTTCTCTGTGATCCCGTTCCCAGAGAAGCGTCCGGTGCTGGTGACAGGAGAGGCTCTCAAGCACTTCACCTTCCTGACCTCCGAAGACGCGAATGCGGAAGAGGACAAGAAGGACACCGAGGCCAGCTCCGAGGCGACGTCCAGCCTCCCGGCCGCCAAGGTGGGCAGCCAAGGTGGCCTCCAGAGCACCTTCTGGGTGGAAATCAGCAGGCAGTGTGACCCCGAAGCAACCTTTGAGGGAGGAGGGAGGAGGGTTAATTTATGGCTCCATAAGACCATGTGGGGACATCTTTGGAGAAGTATTTTGCCCAAGGTTTCTCAAAACCATTCCCTATTCCTGATGTGAACCCAGAAGAAAAAGATGGAGGAAACATCAGCGGGAATCATGAGGATATTAAGGACCTAATCGGAGAAAAATGGGGGAAAGCATTCTTTCATTCCCTACTGTGCCTTTCCCATGCCCTTTCCCCGCTTCTATCCGGCTTCTCTCTGGCTTTTGTCATTTGGAGACTCCTGTAAATGGCGTCTTTCCTCCATTTCCTTGTGTTGCCACAACGGAGTCCTGCAGGTAACCGCTGGATGTGGCTTTGTGTCATGTGATGGCCTCTGTGGGACTCGGTTTCGGCAGCGCAGAGAAATGGAGAGAAGACCGCGTGGGATGAAGTCCTCAGGATCTCATCCCCACTCGTTTTCTTGCTCTGTTTCTGTCACGTTGCAGGGCTCTGCCTTATTTAGGTAGAGATGAACCAAACTCCCAGTTTTATCAAACAGTTCAATTAAAACAGCACTTATTTGCTGGCTGTTTTAATAGACCAAAATATAAAACATAAAGATAGCACTCAGCCAGAGAATAAACAAAAACTGATAACAAAAGCCACACCGTAGCTCAGCACCTGCAGAAATTAATGAGTAAGTAGATAACGAGCCAAGAGCTAGACAAGAAGAGTTAAGTCAAAACAGGAGGGCTGAGCAATGGCTTAGGTGCTCTGCCAGGTTTTCGCAGAAAACAATAACAAAGCCTCAAGTAAAGAGAAACCAATTTCTGACTGCTAACGAGGGGATAAAAGTCTCAAGTTTGGGATGTGTAGTCAGATGAAGCATCGTTTAGAATCACGCCAAGTTCTCGTCCTTGTTCAATGTCACGTTGCTAAGGCTCTACCTTATTTAGGTAGAGATGAATCAAACTCCCGGTTTTATCAAACAGTTTAGTTGAAACAGCACTTACTTGCTGGCTGTTTTAATAGACCAAAATATAAAATATAAAGATAGCACTCAGCCAGAGAATAAACAAAAACTGATAGCAAAAGCTACACTGTAGTCAAAGGGTCCAGTCCAGTGGTCAAACGCCAAGAGTTCAATAAACAAAGTCCAGGGATCAAGAGTCTATACCATAGTCAAAAGCCAGTCCAAAGGTTCAAGGTTCCAGGGTTCCAAGATTACAGGAGACAGGTCAGGATACCGAAAATCCAACAGACCTGGGGGAAAAACCAGCAGCATCCACCACCAAAATATAACAATACTTTTCTCCTGAAGATCAGTCCCAAGGTTAGCTCCTTATATCCACAAACACCCAGCTGCAATCAGGGACGGCCCCAGGTAATTTTCAGGGGTAAGCAAACAGAATTTTGGCGCCTCCCCCAACCAATCACTGAAGATATATATATATATATAGATATACACGCATACACACACATACACACACACACTCCTTTGAGGCAGGGAGAGAGCCTCGGCGGTGGCAGCTTCGCCTCCGCTGCTCCGAGCTTCTTTCTTGTCAGGCTGGGTGCCAGGCTTGGGAGCCCAGCCTGGCGAGGAAGGGACCCTCTGAGGCAGGGAGCAATGGAGGGACAAGGAGGGCACTGCCAAAGAGGGCCTTGGCAGCTTCCCCCTCGCCTCCTCCACTGCTCCGCGCTCCTTCCTCGCCAGGCATGCTCCCTGCATGAGGCCTCTTTTCCCGAGCGCCCAGCAACGCCGGTGCATGTCCCTCTCCCGGTGTGAGGAAGTGCACGCCCTGCATCACCCGTCCTTCCCCACGCATTTCTTAACATCGGTAGAGAGACGCACACTGGCATTGTTGTCTCCCTTGGCCTATGAGAAGGAGGAGGAGAGGAAGACAATGCGCACACACACACGCACTTGTGAGGGAAGGAGGGAGGGAGAGTGAGCTGCCTCTGGGTGTTGTTCGGGGCAGGGGCGACTCAAGAGCCCCTCAAGAGCACCCCCCCGAGATGCGCGCTCTACGCAAAAGCGTAATTTGCGTACTGCCTCGAGCCGCCCCTGGTTGCAATCTGTCTCTTGAATACCTCCACCCTTAATTGCTTTCACCCATGAACTCTTACTTACAGATTACTAAACGCTTTAGAACTAATACTTACATTAACCCTTCCAACACCAACTGCTAGGCCTACCACCACCATCAATTGCAGAACATAATACATGACAGTTTCTTCCACCGGATTCCAGGAGGAGCAGGTCACCCCGACCCGCGGCAGGGCCAAGAAGGAGAAACCTGAGCCGCCGCCACCACGCGAAAACCCCAAGGATAAGAAAGGGGCGGCACGGGGGCGGAAGGGCGCTCAGGCCAGTCCTGGCACCGTCGCCACCCCCACCGAGGTGGACCAGGGCAACCTGACGGCCGAACTCTCCAGCGAGAAGCTCACCAGGTGAGGAGGAAGGCCAATGCTGAGGCATGGGAGGGTGGGGTCTGCGGGGAGTGGGCCCCAAGAGGACCGGGGGCATTGGTCGAGCATGGAGTGTCCCTTGGAAGCACACTGCCTATCTTCTGAGGGGAGTGGATCAGAACTCTCCACAAGGAACATAAAGAGCTCTCCATCATGGAACACTCGTACCCCAAAAGTATTGCCCTAGTTCTCTCGAGATGGCCAAGAGGACCACGTCACTACAATTGGGTGTCACCCATATGTGCCAAACAACTGGACTGGCAGGAGCCATGGTTGAGCATCTAAGCTGGTGCTTCTCAACCTTCCTAATGCTGTGAGCCTCACACTGTGGTGACCCCCAACCATCATATTATGTTCATTATTACTTCATAACTGTAATTTTGCAACTGTTATGAATTGTAATGTAAATATCTGATATGGAGGTTGTATTTTCATTCACTGGACCCAATTTGACACAAATACCCAATACACCCAAATTTGAATTCTGGGGGGATTGATTTTGTCATTTGGGAGTTGTAGTTGCTTGGATGTATAGTTCACTTCCAATCAAAGAGCATTCTGAACTCCACCAATGATGGAATTGAACCAAACTTGGCACTCAGAAGTCCCATGACCAACAGAAAACACTGGGTTTGGTGGGCAATGATCTTGAGTTTGGGAGCTGTAGTAGACCTGCATCCAGACTCAAACAATGATGGATCTGGACCAAACTTGGCATGAATACACAATATGCCCAAATGTGAAAACTGGTGGAATCAGGGGAAAATATATCTCGACATTTGGAATTGTAGTTGCTGGGATTTATAGTTCACCTACAATCAAAGAGCATTCTGAACTCCACCAACGATGGAATTGAACCAAACTTGGCACACAGAACTCCCATAACCAACAAGGGTTTGGTGGGCATTAACCTTGAGTTTTGGAGTTGTAGTTCACCTACATCCAGAGAGCACTGTGGACTCAAACAATGATGGATCTGGACCAAACTTGGCACAAATACTCAATATGCCCAAATGTGAACACTGGTGGAGTTTGGGGAAAATAGACCTTGACATTTGGGAATTGTAGTTGGTGGGATTTATAGTTCACCTACAATTAAAGAGCATTCAGAACCCCATCAACGATAGTATTGGGCCAAACTTCCCACACAGAACCCCATGACCAGCAGAAAATACTGTGTTTCCTGATGGTCTTTGGTGACCCCCTGACACCCCTTGCAACCCCCTCCAGGTGTCCTGACCCCCAGGTTGACAAAACACTGCTCTAAGCTTGTTAGCCTTCTCCAAGAGTTTTTGACCTCCTTACTAACCAACGCATCTTGTATGCTCCTCATAGTGGATTGCTATTCATGCCATTCCGGAACGTATCTTCACCAGAAGCCTTCTTTCTCATTTCCAGGGGCTTTTCCCCTTGTAGGCTGAACCATTACCGCTGGATCGTCCCTGCGAACGGAGAGGTGACCATGCGCCTCCATTTCGCCTCCAACACGACCGGGCTCTTTGATCAGGTCCTCAATTTTGAGATTGTGGGAACTCGGCGTCAATATCAGCTGTACTGCCGGGGAACCTGCACGTACCCCATCATCTCCACGGACCCCACGTGAGTGACGGAGGGAGGCCCTCGCGGCCCCATTGTGTCCCTACCAGTGGGGAGTGAAGGCTTCCAATCCCATTCTTTTGATGCCACTGCCTGTCTGCTTCTCTAACCCAGGGTCGTTTTCCCCCACCGCAAGAAGACTATGAAGCCCGACGAAATGGTCTGCAAAAAGTTTGTCATGAGCACGAATGTGTTCCACTTTGGCCCCTTGCTCTGCGGGAAGTCGAGAGAGAAGTAAGTGCCTCTTGGATTTGGGGTCAATGTCCCCCTCTGCCCAAGGCGCCTCCTTTGTCAGGATTAATTTAGTTATGTATGTGTTTTAAATGTGCTTCTATGTATTGCCAAGATGGATGCTACTATTTGATAATTGTACCATGTAAACCGCATTGAGTCGCCTGTTAAGGGCTGAAAAATGCGGTATAGAAATAAAGCAAATAAATAAATAAATAAATAAATAGAAATACTGTGCAGAATGTTTACACCATGAGGCTGTGATTAAGTGAACTTGAGAAAAGTAAAATAAGGTTTGCTCTTGCTGGGAACAGAAGGGAGTCGCCAGTCTCAGCAAGAAGAGATAAGCAGATGTGAAGAGACTTTCGTTTTGACTAGTTCCTGATTGTAGCTCGCTGTAGTAAGACGTGTCTGTTGAATGTTCTTAGTAAACTTAGTTTCTTTTGTAACTCAAAGCCTGCAAAGTCCTTATTTTGCAACGCAGTGTCTGCTGATCTAGCATTCCTTCCACTGGGCATCATTTGAACTCTGACATCCTTTTGAGGGCACATACATTGGCTACAGATGTTTAGTAAAGTTAGCATTCCGACATGGCAGTGTTCTTAATAATAATAATAAACTTTATTTACACCCCGCCACCATCTCCCCCAACGGGGACTCGGAACGGCTCTTCCCTCAGAAGCTATAGCTGTGGCTTTCTCTTTGGGTCTAAAAATGGTCCCATCTGGAAGACATGATGCCCTCAAGGACCTGGCCTGACTGGGAAATCCCTCACACTGTCGCACCTCAGAATAGATTCACCTTGTTGAAATCACCAGAACTGCACACAGACTGAGGAATTTGTAGTTTATTAAAAAGTAAAAGATGAAAGCAAGTAGTGTTCCAAAGAGCAATAAAACATAGCGCTGTAAAGCAGAATTCCAAATGGCCCCAACGAAACAAAGTCCCATGAGAACATGACAAAATCCCAAGACCATGGACACAGGAAAATGAGCACAAGCTGCTTGGTTGAGTGAGAAGTTGCTCTGACAAAGGTTTGTTTTCAAACACGACCGTGGACACAGGAAAACGAGCACAAGCTGCTTGGTTGAGTGAGAAGTTGCTCTGACAAAGGTTTGTTTTCAAACACACTGCTTAATACCCTTTGCAATACATGAAAGCAGTTCTTTGGCCTCTGACCTCCTTCTTGTTAGCTATTCTCACACTCCTTTGAACTCTGAATTCCAAACGGTCAGCCTGATCCAAGATTCCCGTTTCATCAAGGTCAGGCTGCTGACCTCCTTCTTGTTAGCTATTCTCACACTCCTTCGAACTCTGAATTCCAAACGGTCAGCCTGATCCAAGATTCCCGTTTCATCAAGGTCAGGCTGCTGACCTCCTTCTTGTTGGCTATTCTCACACTCCTTCGAACTCTGAATTCCAGCCCGATCTAAGCTTCCCGTGTCATCAAGGTCAGGCTGCTTCTTAGTGTCCGCCTGGTTGCCTTCCTGCCTACTCTCAGGCTGAGAACTGTCCTGCTTTTCTGAGTCAGTTTGCACCTGGCTAGTTTCAGTATCACAAACATCCTTCCCTGCTGTGGGAAACTGAACTTGCACACCCTGTTCCTCAATTGTCTACAACAGGAACATTTTGAACCTGATTGTGAACCTGAATCCCATCATCCTCATCAGAATCACTCTGAGACCCCATCTGAGTCACAACACTATCAGTCTGTGTCTGTGGTTCCAGCTGAGTCACAACACACTCTCCACCTCATCACATTGAAGTAGGGAAGTGTTCTACTCAGTCTTACTTAGTTTTTAAATGAAATAGATTATTTCCCTACCTCCATCACACTTTATCTGTGGTACTCCATGGTACTACTCAGCATTCTTTCAGTAGATTTGCCATCACACTTTAATCACTAGGCACCTCCCACCAGCCCCCCATCATACTCCAGAGCAGAAACACGTCTGACTTTAAATACTACACCAGCTGGGTAAAATCAGTAAGCAGTTTATTTAGGAATATATGTAGCCAAAGCAGTAAAAAATAATCCAAAGTAAAAAAAAAAGTAATCCAATTGATGTTGCACTCCAGATCAGGAGAGAGGGCCCTCTTGTCATTAATACACCACACCTTGGTTTAGGAAAAATACCATTCTTTTTATTGAATGATGAATATAACATAGATAGAAGTCCAAAGGTAAAAAAGTCAAAATGAAACAGCAAACAGCAATGTCCAGAAAGCTTGCAGAAAATCCAAAGCAGTAATGTCCAAAAAAAACTCTCAATAGAAATCCATGAACAGATTAGCCCTGCTAAATCTCGCTTGAACCCAGAAATTCCCTTAGAGACCAGACCACTGGAAACTGGGAAACCCAGGAGGTTCGTACTTGATACTAAACGATGCTTGGTCTGAGGAAATCCCCCTCATGGCCACTCTTAAATCCCAAAACCTGATTCCAGCTAACTGTAAACTTTGGTTTCAGTTGTCGGATTCTCTCAGACCTACGTAAACATTGGGCTTCCCTGTGGTTCTGGCTAATCTCCAAACTGCGGCTGTTATCGTTGACCCAATCAGGTGTCAAGTTACCTTGCAAGCTTGGGAAGGAAGTGTATTTTCTTCCCTCACTTTCTCATGAGAACTTGGCTTTTCCCTTGAAGCCTCTAAATCAAAGGCTTTAGGATTTTTCCTGCCCAAAGTGTCTCCATCTTGAGCCTCGTCCTCACTGATCACTTCAGCCTCACTTTCCAAACTAGGCCCATCAACATTAGCATCAACATTAGGCAATACATTATCATTAGTTCAAAGAATGCAGAATGCTACTGAGTTGCATGGATAACATTTCACAGTGTGATAAAAGTAGGGAATTCATCAATTTCATTGAAAAACGGAGCTCTACTCAGCCAAATATTTTCATCCACTTCATTGCTTCAATGTGATGAAGGGGAAGGTTTTACAATGTTTACAAGGTTTGCGTGCTTTAATTATTCTGGAGCGAAGAAATAAAATGATGATGATGATGATGATGATGATTATCATGTAGCTTTTGGTCTTAGCAGTTCAGCTTCAAAAGAAGTACGATGATTGAGGCGAAGGTTCAGGCCTTCTGTGGACGTTCTGACCCTTGCTTATTCTCCTGCCACTGCTCCCAGGTACAAGGTGTCTCGATACCCGAACCACTTTGAGAGGATCACCATCCTCAACATCTCCCCTTTGGAGGCCGAGGTGCATTTCTTCTTCCAGTACGACTCCAGGGCCATCACCTACCTGCTGGACCCTTGCTCCCTCACCCTCAAGCCCAACGAGAAGCAGGTAACGGCTCAAGGAAGCGGGCGCTTGCTTTGCCCAGAAGGCCCCTCCAGTGACCCTTCCAACTGACCTCCTCTTGGGCCTCTGCCTTGACCCCCAGCTGCTGACGGTCTGGGCCTATCCCACGGCCAGCGGGATCTTCGAGGACAACATTGTCTGCTGCATCAAGGATAACCCGGAGCCCATCACCTTCCGGATCTCCTGCCAAGGGGTCCGCCCAGAACTGGAGCTGGACCGCCGACAGCTGCATTTTGAAAAGGTGCTCCTCCACAGGTGGGACTGGGCTCTGCGCCCCATTTCTATACTTACTAGGGTTGTGGAATTTTTTTTGTTAGTTGTCCTAAGTCGTATCAAATTCATTAAATTTGTACTTACAATGCGGTATCGGACACGTGGGCGTGGCCTGCACCAAAAACTTGAGAATCTAAACTTATTCAATACTTTTTCATTTGCATTTTGTAAACCTTGGAAGCCTCCCAAAGTTGGTTTCATGTTCAACACAAGGAAGCAAAACAAAGCCAAAAAGGCTGCCTTCCTTTTCCATTAATAAGTCGTATCAAATTCATTAAATTTGTACTTACGATGCAATATCTGACACGTGGGCGTGGCCTGCACCAAAAACTTGAGAATCTAAACTTATTCAATACTTTTTCATTTGCATTTTGTAAACCTCTGAAACCTCCCAAAGTCGGTTTCATGTTCAGCACAAAGAAGCAAAACAAAGCCAAAAAGGCTGCCTTCCTTTTCCATTAATGTCCTCTCGCCATTAGGAGAGGGAAAGCAGAGTTTGCTGGGAAAGAGATGGCGAAAACAGAGAATTTTGGGAAATGTAGTTTGGGAAGGCGAGGAGCCCTATGCCAGAGAATGCAAAAGGTCCTGCCCTGAACTACATTTCCCAGAATGCTGCTCAGCATTGTATAGAAAATTCAAGGAGATAATAGCTCTTGTGGTTTTGTTTTTTTAAAAAAATGTTCAATGTATTGTCGAAGGCTTTCGTGGCTGGAATCACTGGGTTGTTGTAGGTTTTTCGGGCTATATGGCCATGTTCTAGAGCAGGGGTCGGGAACCTTTGGCCCTCCAGCTGTGGTGGACTTCAACTCCCACAATTCCTTGAGGCTCGGCATTCGCCCCAAAGGCTTACCTTGGCCCAACGAGGTTTGTTTGGCTCTTTTTCATGGAGGACGGGCAGCAAAGGGGGAGAGACGAGCGTAACGTAGCTGTGCAGATGGCGAGGAAGGATGCGGAGCCTACAGACTGGCCTCGGAGGGAGAGAGCGGGCGGAAACCCCTGCGGGCAACGCGCCTCCTCGCCGCTTAAACAGCGCAGAGCCCTTTCCCTCCAGCCTTCGCCTTCCCTTTTCCCCGACAAGCTCTGCACGACGTCACTCAGCCGGCGTCGTTGCTAGGGAGGGGGTCCATGCGGGGCGGGTGCTAAGGGCCGAAGCGGCGAGGAGGCGCGTTGCCCGCAGGGGTTTCCGCCCGCTCTCTCCCTCCGAGGCCAGTCTGTAGGCTCCGCATCCTTCCTTGCCATCTGCACAGCTACGTTACGCTCGTCTCTCCCCCTTTGCTGCCCGTCCTCCATGAAAAAGAGCCAAACAAACCTCGTTGGGCCAAGGTAAGCCTTTGGGGCGAATGCCGAGCCTCAAGGAATTGTGGGAGTTGAAGTTCACCACAGCTGGAGGGCCAAAGGTTCCCAACCCCTGTTCTAGAGGCATTTTCTTCTGACGTTTCGCCTGCATCTGTGGCAAGCATCCTCAGAGGTAGTGAGGTCTATTGGAACTAGGAAAGTGGGTTTATATATCTGTGGAATGACAAGGGTGGGACAAAGGACTCTTGTCTGCTGGAGCTAGGTGGGAATGGGTTGTTGTAGGTTTTTTTGGGCTATATGGCCATGGTCTAGAGGCATTCTCTCCTGACGTTTCGCCTGCATCTATGGCAAGCATCCTCAGAGGTAGTGAGGTCTGTTGGATCTAGGAAAAAGGGTTTATATATCTGTGGAATGACCAGGGTGGGACAAAGGACTCTTGTCTGCTGGAGCTAGGTGTGAATGTTTCAACTGACCACCTTGATTAGCATTTGATAGCCTGGCAGTGCCTGGAGCAATCTTTTGTTGAGAGGTGATTAGATGTCCCTGATTGTTTTCCCTCTGCTGTTTTGCTGTTTTAATTTTAGAGTTTTTTAATACTGGTAGCCAGATTTTTCCAGGCCATCAAATGCTACTCAAGGTGGTCAGTTGAAACATTCACACCTAGCTCCAGCAGACAAGAGTTCTTTGTCCCACCCTGGTCATTCCACAAATATATAAACCCATTTTCCTAGTTCCAACAGACCTCACTACCTCTGAGGATGCTTGCCATAGATGCAGGCGAAACGTCAGGAGAGAATGCCTCTAGAACATGGCCATAGAGCCCAAAAAAACCTACAACAACCCAAAAAAAATGTTGCTTATAAAAACTTTGAAAATTCCCCAAAAATCAGTGGATGAGTGAAACGCTCTGAAACTTGGTGGGCCCATAGTGGTCAATGTGTACTGGCATTGTAGCAAATTTAATGCCAATAGCTGTAAAAATGAGGGGGAAAGGAGCCCTTCTGAAGTTCCCCCACTTGTGCAATTACTATAATTTCATTACTCTCGTTACAGTAACAAAATGTTTACTAACGACACTTGAGAAACACTTTGGAACTGAAACACCGGTTCACAGTTTTGTAATGACTTTTGAATATTTCTTTTATCGATCACGCATGCCTAGTTACTTTGTTGGTATTTGCAGCAGGATGTGTTGGGCGTGTGAGCCTTTCCCCCAAGTGCCATTGCTTCCTTCACAACAACAACAATAGGTAGGGGAGCCCTCAACTGCTGTTGTGTGGCTGACACTCCACTCACATTCAGAGTCAAGTTGAGGGTTCCCCTCTAGAAGGATCAGGTCTTGGAGGGAACCCACTGTGCTGGTACGTCTGTACCAGGAGCTCCAACTTTATTTTCTTTCTATTATGTGCTTGCATGCATTCCAAGGTTTCAGGGATTCTGCAAAAAGGTGGCTTCCTTTGGTTTGCAGTCATAGGGCGAGCCACCTGTCTATCATTGTTAAGTTTGGATCCGCCCCTTCTCCCAAGGAGATGGTGTGACAATGTGTAAATTTTATTCCTTTGGTTATGTGTAATTTAAACAGTAGTTTAGGGATGGTAAGTATGGGAGACTATGTTTGTTGGAGATGGTGGCTTGGCGTTAGCTGAGTTGCCATAGCAACAGGGGCGGAGCCAACTGCCTCTTCACGAGGCAGTTGTTTTAAAAGGTCAGTCAGTAAGCCGGCGAGCTACTGGGAATACTGAGTCTCTGGGTGGAGATTCAGGGAATGTGTCTGTAGCCGGTGTGCTATAGGGAAGACTGAGTCTCTGGGTGGAGATTCAGGGAATGTGTCTGTAGCCAGTGTGCTATAGGGAATTCTGTTAAAATAAGCCTTTTAGCTTATTTGTTATATTAGGGCAGTTGTCCAGAAGGGTTACATCTGCTTAAAGAAACTTCTTGAAGACCCTGCCTGAGATTACTCATGAAACATTACTATTGTAACCATCAAGATTTGTGCCTCTTGTGAAGAAACAGTTAAACTTATTATACTGCTGTTAAAATAAACTTGTTACTGTTTTCCTCAAGCCTTGCCTGATACAGTTTCTCCTAAGTTGAACAGCCTGCAATAGTAAAGTCAGCCAGAGACAGTAAACGCTACGCTATCAAATGAACAAAGCCTTCTGTAATTAACAGTCCCTTTATAAAATAGCTCCTAGGTTGATATTGATCGTTGCCCGGCTTCCCTCATAGATTAGGTGGCAGTGGGTGTTTTACAACACGCACCTTCACAATTGGTGGCAGCAGTTTCACCACTCCTTCACATTTGGTGGCATTCGGTGGCATTAAAACAGTCTTCTTCACAGATGGGAAGGGAAGAGGGGGCCATTTTTAGTTAGTCTTAGTGAGGAAAGCTCAATTAGAGGATGTGGACAAGCTTCACCTACAGAAAAGCTTCATTTCTCAAGACATTCCGGGGGGAAATTCCCAAAGCTCTGGCTGGGAGCTTGCAGCCTCTCAGCCTTACAGTATCTGAGGGAAACAGCCCTAAGTCTTAAAGAAATTCCAGAGGGAAAACAGCTTTACAGACCCAAAGAACTCCAGCTGGAGAATCTACAAGCTTTGTCTGACGCAGTTTGGAATCGGTAGTAGATCCCACACCAACAAAACGTAGATAACAGACAGCCTGGGAGAGGTTAAAAAAGGGTTTTCCTCTCAAAGTATAAGAACAGTTAATGAAGACAGCTGCCTGTCCCTTGTGGACAAGATGAAGGAAGCCACCAGTTGATTTAAAGCCTTGAAGCATTGGTTTGACTCATTGAAGATTTGAGAAATATCTGTTTAACTTGTTCAATAATAAAGGACTTTGTTTAACCTTTCAAGCCATCTAAAGACCATTTCTTCAGGAAAATCCTTGAGGGCCTCTCTTCGAGGCACCCTGGCTTCCCACTGGGCACAAAGTGCAAGTCCTATTTCAAAAGACAGTTATTACAGGCCCAGTGCGGGACAGAACACCCACAAGAAACATAATTTGGTAGGGAAATTCTCCCTGTGTCTGCATCTGGATTGCTGATGAAGGCTACTTGGGTTGCCCAGAGAAGGCAAAGGGCCTTCAGTCTTCTGAAAGCCCTTCTCCTGTCCCTGCAGGAAGGAGACCAAGTCCCTCTACCTGAAGAATGCCACTCCGCTGCCGGTGGCCTGGCGGATCAGTGGCCTGGAGAACATTGGGGACGACTTCAGCCTCTCGGACGACACCGGCGTCATCGGCCCTTTCTCCGAGTACTGCCTGCTGGTGAACTTCAAGGCCTCCAAGGTCCTCAACATCAAGAAGGCCATCCGCCTGGAGGTGAGGGGCTGCCCGGGGGCTCTAAGGCTGCCAGATGTGGAGGGGTCCCACAGTGGCCAAACAGGGCTTGGGCCGTGTCTCTCCCAGAGACGGGAGCGTGGCTGTATGTCCCCTTTGCCTGGCTTGGGATGCCAGGACTTGGGCAGGAAGAAGAACGTCTAATGTGTTTCCCTATAAACATCCAGAACTCCCCCTCCTTCCTTCCTTCCTGCCTTCCTTCCTTCCTTCCTTCCTTCCTTCCTTCCTTCCTTCCTTCCTTCCTGCCTTCCCTTCTTCCCTTCCTTCTTTCCCTTCTTCCCTTTTTCTTCTTTTCCATTCTGTTCCATTCTTTTCCTTCCTTCCTTCCTTCCTTCCTCTTCCTTCCTTCCTTCCTTCCTTCTCCTCCTTCTTTTTCCTTCTTCCTTCTCCCTTCCTTTCTTCTTTCTCCTTCTTTCCTTCCTCTCCTTCCTTCTTTCCTTCCCTCCCTCCTTCCTTCCTTTCCTTCCTTCCTCCTTCCTTTCCTTCCTTCCTTCCTTCCTTCTTCCTTCCTTCCCTTCTTCCCTTTTCCTTCATTTCCTTTGTCCTTCCTTCCTTTCCTTCTTTTCCTTCTGTTCTATTCTTTTACTTCCCCTCTCTTCTTCCTTTTTCCTTCCTTCCTTTTTTCCCTTCTTCCATCCTTTTCCTTTCTTTCTTTTCTTCCTCCCTCTCTTCCCTTCCCTCCTTCTTCCTTCTCTTTCCCCTTTTCCTACTCCCTTCCTTTCATTTTCCTTTTCCCTTCTTTCTCTCTTTTCCTCCCTCCCTCCTTTCCTTATTTCTCTTTCTTTCTTTTTCTTCCTTCTCCATCTTTCCTTTCCCTTCCTCCCTTCTCCATATTTTTCTTTCTCCTCCCTTTCCATCTCTCTCTTCCTCCTTCCCTTTCCTGCCTGCCTTCTCCGTATTTTCCTCCCTTCTCCACCTTTCCTTTCCCTTCCTTCCTTCTCCATCTTTCCCTCCCTCCCTCCATTCATAGTTCTTCTGTCTCTTCTTTCTTTCCTAGCATCTCAGAATCTCTGCTCCGCCTTCACCTCCATCAACTTCCCTTTTTCTCTATTGGCCAATATGAACTGAAATTCATAGTTTGACCCAGTATCACCAGAGAGGAATAAGGGAAGGGCAACACAAAAGGGGCACATTGAGGCCATCGCTCAAAGGGATTTGTAACCCTCTACCAGCAGATACTCAGACGTCGGGATGGGGCTCGCTGTCATTTCAGGTTTCAGACGCAGAGAACATTCTGGGGATTGTCCAGATTGAGAACATCCAAATTGTTGCTGAGGCCTACGATGTGGCCCTGGACATCAGCTTCCCTAAAGGTGGGTGCAGTGCTTCCCAGCTGAGGGCATTCTTGGCCAGTGGCTTACCGGGAGCCACGCTGTGGGCAGACTTCACAGCAGGCAAGTCTACAAAGATCTAGCCTGTATGAAAGCAAGCATCTCTTCCAGATGTTCAGGGTAAAACAAGACTCTCTGTAGAGCAGTGGTTTTCGACCTGTGGGTCCCCAGGTGTTTTGGTCTACAAGTCCCAGAAATCCCAGCCAGTTTACCAGCTGTTCGGATTTCTAGAAGATGAAGACCAAAACATCTGGGGACATCCCATAGGTTGAAAACCACTGCTGTAGAGTTTTCTGGTTGAATAGGACAAACAGGAGTCCCTTTTATGCATATGGTCATTAGTAAAAGATGAATAATTTTTGGAAGGAAAAATTGGATGGAAAAACAAAGCTTATAAAATCACATTTGCCTTCTTGTATTAAGAGTTCATGTTCATCTCATTTGATTCCTATGCTCTGTGCATAGGTGAAGTCAATTATTTTTGATCATTCCACTTAATTCCTTCTTGTTGTAGTTTTTTCTTCTTGTATTATTGGCATATTATGGAGACTATTGTTTCCAGTTCTCTGTTTCCTTCTTCCCTTTGGAATCTTTGCCCCGTGTAACTCAACTTAAAGCCCTTCCAAATGATGACTCACAGTTAAATGACTGATCCCAACCACCTGAGGAGAGGCATTATAAAGAGAGAGTGTCCTTCCTACCAGCCTTCATTCTCTGTGGCCACTTGCAGGTACAAACGGTGGTGTGGAGCTTGGGATTGTCAGAATATTGGACGAAGCGAAGCAGATTCTGTCCCTGAAGAACAAAGGCAAATACGAGATTGGTTTTAGGTAAGAAGTTCTGCCTCCTCTCAAGGTGCGTTCTGTTTGTCTGTTGGCTGAAAGAAGCTACACCAAAGCTCCTTCTATGAGATGTCTTCAGGTCTTCTTGACCACTTCCATGCTGCTCGTATCCCAAGTCCAGATCAACCTATTTACAATGTCTCTCCTTGCTTCATTACGGACATTGGGGTTTGTTTACATAACGCGAAGCCAACGAAGAACTTGTTGGATGACTTACGAGAGATCTTCATTCTCTTTCTGCCCTTTTTGTAGCTTCATGGTGGAAGCCACTGACCACAGCATGCCTAACCTGGGCTCGCTGTTCTCAATCCAGCCCCAGAAAGGGAATCTGAGCCCCACAGACCGGCCGACTCAGGTCCAGATTGTGTTCCATGCAAAGAGAGAAGTGAAGATCGATGACAAGCCTGTCCTGCAGTGCCAGGTAAGTCACCTGGGGAGAAAAGGAGCCTTGAGAGGCATTGACTGTGGCACAAGGATGTGTTGCCTTGCATGACATTCTCTTCTCCCAATTTCTGTGAAAACTGTGCCACTTTCGAAGGAGCAAGGAAGGCTATGATGGAGGGGCAGACGGGGCAAGGGTTGGGGAAGTCATAGCCATCCTGTGCCTACAACATTTCCTCTGGTCCTGGCAATATTGGGAAGGTCAAATGAGAAGCTCACTTAGGACCCTTGCCTCTCCATCTGTGTTCTTGTTGTGTCCCAGAGCAGGAACTTACTTACTTACTTACTTAGGCGATCCCTTGTAGTCCGAGGATGATGGTCCTCCAAGATCGGTGTTCTATCGGTGGGTCCATAGGTGACTGTGGAGCCCAATTCTTGATCTGCATCTTCTCCCACAGTGAGGGCATCAGTTTCCAGGTGGAAGGCGGTCCCAGTCGGGGTTGGCTTGACATGCCTTCCTCTTGGCACATTTCTCTCTTTCGCCCTCCATTCATGCCTCTTCAATTCTGCAGCACTGCTGGTCACAGCTGACCTCCAGCTGGAGCGCTCAAGGGCCAGGGCTTCCCAGTTCTCAGTGTCTATGCCAGAGTTTTTAAGGTTGGCTTTGAGCCCATCTTTCAATCTCTTTTCCTGTCCTCCAACATTCTGTTTTCCATTCTTGAGTTCGGGCTATATGGCCATGTTCTAGAGGCATTTCTCCTGACGTTTTGCCTGCATCTATGGCAAGCGTCCTCAGAGGTGAGGTCACCTCACCTCTGAGGAAGCTTGCCATAGATGCAGGCGAAACGTCAGGAGAAATGCTTCTAGAACATGGCCATATAGCCCGAAAAAACCCACAAGAACTGAGTGATTCCAGCCATGAAATCCTTCGACAATACATTCCCTTTTCCATTCTTGAGTTCAGAGTAGAGCAACTGCTTTGGGAGATGGTAGTCAGGCATCCGGACAACATGGCTGGTCCAGCGGAGCTGATAGTGGAGGACCATCGCTTCAATGCTGGTGGTCTTTGCTTCTTCCAGCATGCTGACGTTTGTCCGCCTGTCTTCCCAAGAGGTTTGCAGGATTTTCCGGAGGCAGCGCTGATGGAATCATTCCAGGAGTTGCATGTGACGTCTGTAGACTGTCCAAGTCTTGCAAGCGTATAGCAGGGTTTGGAGGACAATAGCTTTATAAACAAGCCCCTTGGTCTCCCTACAGATGTCCCAGTCCTCAGACAGTCTCTGCTTCATTCGGAAAAAGGCTGCACTTGCAGAGCTCAGGCGGTGTTGAATTTCAGTGTCAATGTTGACTTTTGTGGAGAGGTGTGGATAGCAGGAACACCTCTGTCGTTAAACACCAGTTCAGTATAATCAGCAAGCGGTTTATTGAAGGGTATATTGAAGCAAAGCAGTAAAAATGGTAGAAACAATATAGTCCAAAACAGTATAGTCCAGAACAGATAATCCATGAACTTTAAGGTAAAAGGTAAAAACACAACATCCAAGGATGTAAAATCCCAAAGAACAAGGCAACATGGAGATCCAAGACACAGAACAGGAACCTGGCAAAACTTGAAACATGAAGCTAGAAATCCTCTTGGAAACAAGACAGTCATGAAACTCCAACATTGACCAGACTGAGCTAAAATCCTTTTCCCTGTCTCATATAAAGCCTTTCCTGTCTCATGAAATGAAAGGAAAATATTCCATTTGCCTTTACAACCAGATAAGGATTTCTTTTCTAATGAACAATGGCTTCAAACTACAAGAAAGGAGATTCCATCTGAACATGAGGAAGAACTTCCTGACTATGGAACTCTCTGCCCCGGAGAGAGTGTGGTGGAGGCTCCTTCTTTGGAAGCTTTTAAACAGAGGCTGGATGGCCATCTGTCAGGGGTGATTTGAATACAATATTCCTCCTTCTTGGCAGAATGGGGTTGGACTAGATGGCCCATGAGGTCTCTTCCAACTCTAGGATTCTATGATTCCAAGATTCTATGAAATGCGCTAACCTTTGGGGAGCTTGAGAACTTTCTCTTAGTTTACAAAATTATTTTCTTACATCTTCAGTCTCATTAACTTCTGTACTTGCCAATTCATCCTCAGAAGAGAGTTCCTCAGAGAAAGGCTGTCGTGGGCCCCGTTCAGGAATGTGGCCCTGAGAATCTACAGGAGAAGCACTCCGTTCATTAGAAATCTTGGATTTTTCAGCAAGGCCAGAACCAGGCCTTTCAACAAGGCCAGGACTTGACAGCTGAGGCCCAGGAAACCATCATCCCCACTGACATCAGACACAATCACAGGCTGAACGACAACAGCTCTATTAATGTGCATCTGTTATTGAAACACAGGCTGAACAATTACACTATGTAACATGATTTTTGTTCCTGGGTTATAAATGTCATTTCCTAATTGGTTCCATCATCAAAACATGGGGAAAGTGTGTTAAACTACAAACACTTTGTTGCGGTCTGCAGAAAAGGTTCAAAATGGCATGTGAACATTGAAAAATGGCAGCTACAAAAACAAAGTTTCTGAAGTTGTGGACAACAAGTTAAACATGAGCCAACAATGTGATGTGGCAGCAAAAAAAGCCAATGGGATTTTAGCCTGCATCAAGAGGAGCATAGTGTCTAGATCTAAGGAAGTAATGCTACCCCTCTATTCTGCTTTGGTTAGACCACACCTGGAATATTGTGTCCAACTCTGGGCACCACAATTGAAGAGAGATATTGACAAGCTGGAATGTGTCCAGAGGAGAGTAACTAAAATGATAAAAAGGTCTGGAGAACAAGCCCTATGAGGAGCAGCTTAAGGAACTGGGCATGTTTAGCCTGAAGAAGAGCAGGCTGAGAGGAGACATGATGAGAGCCATGTATAAATATGTGAGAGGAAGCCACAGGGAGGAGGAGGGAGCAAGCTTGTTTTCTGCTTCCCTGGAGACTAGGACGCAATGGAGCAATGGCTTCAAACTACAAGAGAGAGACTCCATCTGAACATGAGGAAGAACTTCCTGACTGTGAGAGCCATTCAGCAGTGGAACTCTCTGCCCCGGAGTGTGGTGGAGGCTCCTTCTTTGGAGGCTTTTAAGCAGAGGCTGGATGGCCATCTGTCAGGGGTGATTTGAATGCAATGTTCCTGCTTCTTGGCAGAATGGGGTTGGACTGGATGGCCCATGAATAGGCCTGTGCAGTTTCGTTCGTTAATTCGTTAATTCGTTAATAATTCGTTAATTTTACCATTTCCGAAGCGATATCGAAACATATTTCCAAACCCGGAAGGGTTTTTAAATATCGAACCAGCAACCCCCATAGTTTTAACGAGCCTCCGCTCGTTTCGTTAATGGGGTGGAGGCTGCTGGAGTGCTGGTGCCTGGGAGCCAATCCGGCGCTCCCAAGCAGTGCACCATGGGTCCGTGGCTGTCTCTTTTTGATTGGCCGGCGAGCCCTTTCAAAGCGGCTCCGCGCGGCCCGTAGCTTGCTGCAGAGGGCGAGGGAGTTTGCATTGGGTTGGCTTGGCAATGGCTGCCTGCTAGCAACTGGGATTGGATTCATTCCTTGCTGCTGTGAGTGCTGCTTGCTTCATTTGCTGTCTCTTGCCTGTGTTTGGTCCACATTTGGGCCATTTATTGGTTAATTGTCCATTTTAAAATATTTTTAATATTATTTTTAATATTATTTTTTATTATTTTTAATATTATTTTTTAATATTATTCTTAAAAAATATTCTAAAAAAGAAAAGACTCTTCTGTTGGTGTGTGCTCTCATTTGCTGTATCCTGCCTGTGTTTGGGCCATTTTTTGGTTAATTTTCCATTTTAAAATATTTTTTAATATTATTTTAATATTATTCTTAAGAAATACAAAAAATATTCTAAAAATTCGTTAATATTTACAAAATTTCTTAAATACCAAAACTTTTTTTGGGAAAGTTTTGTAATTATTTTAAATATCGAAACAAAAAAACACCCCAATTACAAATCGATTTTAGAAACAAATTTTTTCTTGATCAAACAGGCCTACCCATGAAGTCTCTTCCAACTCTTTGATTCTATGATTCTATGAAGTAGAACAACTACTTTCAAAGGAAGGACCTGTCACATTGCCAGGGCTCTGCCGGTACGCAGGCAGAGGTGAACCAAAGCAAACGGCGAGCTTGTGTCAAACTGTTTAATTAAAGCAGCACTTACTTTCTGGCTGTTTTCATAGTCCAAATGTAAAACACAAAGATAGCACTCAGCCACAAAATATAAAACAAAGACTGATAGCAAACACTGGTGCAGGTTCAAGAGAACAAGGTCCAGTCCAGTGGTCAAGTGCCAAGAGTTCAATGAGTAAAATCCAAGGATCAAGAGTCTATACCATAGTCAAAAGCCAGTTCGGAGATTGAAGGTTCTAGAGTTCCAAGAGTTCAGACAACAGGTTAGGATACTGTCAGGAGTCAATTTCTGACGGCATGAAGACATCACAAATTCCCTCCGTGACATCCTGACTGAATCATCCTGGCTGAATCAATTCTCTCTCTGTGACATTTTGAAGCCAGTAGAGGACGCTGGAAGCCTTGTATGGGAACTTGTGAAGCAACAAGCTCTCATAAGGAAACTGAGAAGAGGGGGGAGGTGGGCAGGAAAGGTGTATTATTATTATTATTATTATTATTATTATTATTATTATACTTTATTTGTACCCCGCTAGCATCTCCCGAAGGACTCGATGCGGCTTACACAGGCCAAAGCCTCAACACCACAACAGCATAACAACAACAATACAATTCAAAGCAAATCAAAAACATAAAGCAATAACAACAAAACATTACACCGTAACACAGTAAAAACCAGGGCCGGGCCAAGTGATGGGTACAGATTAAAAAGTTCTGGGTGTGACAAGTGGTATGTTGGAGTTCTGGGCAAGTGCAATGTGCAGAGAGTCTTAAACTCTAATAAAGTGCTTCTGGGACATAGTGCTGGGGTTTTCCTATTCTGGAAAGGCACACCGGAACAGCCAGGTCTTCAAACTCTTCCTAAAGACTGCCAACGTGGGTGCTAGTCTGATGTCTTTGGGGAGGGTGTTCCAAAGTCGGGGGGCAACCACAGAGAAGGCCCTGTCCCTCGTCCCCACCAAACGAGCCTGCAATGCAGGCGGGATCGCGAGCAGGGCCTCTCCAGATAAACGAAGGGAGCACGTGGGTTCGTACACGGAGATGCGGTCACGCAGGTAGGCAGGTCCCAAACCCTTTAGGACTTTGTAGGTAGGTAAACGGCAGCCAATGGAGCTCCTTAAACAGGAGGGTTGACCTCTCTCTGTAAGGAGCACCAGTTAACATCCTGGCCGCCGCCCGTTGGACCAGTTGGAATTTCCGAGCCGTTTTCAAGGGCAGCCCCACGTAGAGCGCATTACAGTAATCCAATCTAGAGGTGACCAAGGCATGGACCACCCCGGCCAAATCAACCTTTGTGAGGTACGGTCGCAGCTGGCGCATAAATCTCAATTGTGCAAAAGCCCTCCTGGACACCGCTGACGCCTGAGCCTCAAGCATAAGTGATGAATCCAGGAGAACTCCCAGACTGCGGACCTGTGGCTTCAGGGGGAGTGTAACCCCGTCCAACACAGGTTGCCACCCTATACCCCGATCCAGTTTACGATTGACTAGGAGGACCTCTGTCTTGTCGGGATTGATCTTGTCGGGATTGATGTATAAAAGGAAGTGGTGGTGGGGAAAAGTCCGTCCGTAGTGTCTTTCTTTGCTGCAGAGATACAAGCAATATATCCATTTCAAAGCAAAACTGGCTTGTGAGTGGTTATTTAATATTGCTAGATAGATCCTGCAGTCTTACAGATACCAAAAATCCACAAACCTGGTGGTGGGGGAGGGAGCCTGGAGCATCTACCACCAAAATAGGACAAAGCTTTTCTCCCCAGTTCAGTCTCCAGGCTAGCTCCTTATAAGCAGTAATACCCAGCTGCAACCTATCCTTTGCATGCCTCCACCCTTAATTGCTTTAACTTGTAAACTCTTACTTACAGATTACCCAGCCTTGTAGAACCAAGATTTACATTAACCCCTTCCATCACCAACTGCTAGGCCTGACACCTTCAACCACCATCAACTGCAGAACATGATACATGACAGAACCATTCTCTTGGCAGAAGGGCATCATTTGGGCAGGTTTCTAAGAGCCTGATGTACTAACAAGCCCCTCGCCCAAAGAACCTGGCTCGGACCCATCTCTCTCTCGCCCTCCATGCAGGTCATCGAGCCCAATTTCATCGAAGGAGGGGAGACGATTGCCACCATCCCGATCCGGCTGTCCGTGCACGCCGCCTTCTCCAAATACAGCATCACCCCTCCCTCCCTCATCAATTTCGGGCCGCTGATGATCAACTCCCGGAAGAGCAGCAGTTTCACCATTGAGAACAAAGGCACCCTCGATTTCAAGTTCATCATCTTCAAGCAAATCCGAGACATAGCCATCCCGCTGAGGAAAGGGTGAGAGGACACGGGCTTGAGTGGAGAACCATGCATAGATCCTCCGTGTATGAGCCTTTGGCACTCTCTCGGGCCTCTGCTTGTGCGTGTTTTTGTGTGTGTGTGTGTGCGAAATTTATATATATATATTTACTAACTGTCCCCTGCCACGCGTTGCTGTGGCCCAGTCTATTGATCTGGAAATTAAAGTAATGAGAAAGTGTTGGTTTCTAATCTATATAATTTCTTTATGCTTGTGGGTAAACAGTATTTCTTGCTGCTTCTTTGTCAGTGTTGATGTGGAGAGTGTCTGGTTTGCCTGGAACATGCAACATATCATTGCCCTTCTTCAGGGGTCCCTTTCAAATCTATGAGACTGTGTGTGTGTAAATCATATCTATCATGCAACATATCATTGCCCTTCTTCAGGGGTCCCTTTCAAATCTAGGAGACTGTGTGTGTGTGAATCATATCTATCATGCAACATATCATTGTCCTTCTTTAAAATTTATGATACTATATCTCTCTGTGTGTGTGAATCATACCTATCTATCTATCTATCTATCTATCTATCTATCTATCTATCTATCTATCTATCTCTATCTATGGCTGGATGGCTCTTTGTCAGGAGGGCTTTGATTACGTTTTCTCGCCCTGGTGAAGGGAGTTGGACTGGATGGCCTTCAGTATTTTCTGTTGGTCATGGGGGTTCTGTGTGGGAAGTTTGCCCCAATTCTGTCGTTCGTGGAGTTCAGAATGCTCTTTGATTCTAGGTGAACTGTGAAACTCAGTGACTACAACTCCCAAATGTCAAGGTCTATTTCCCCCAAACTCCATCTGTGTTCATATTTGGGCGAATTGAGTGCTTGTGCCAAGTTTGGTCCAGATCCATCATTGTTTGAGTCCACAGTGCTCTTTAGATGTAGGTGAACTACAACTCCCAAACTCAAGGTCAATGCCCACCAAACCCTTCTAGTGTTTTCCATTGGTCATGGGAGTTCTGTGTGCCAAGTTTGGTTCAATTCCATTGTTGATGGAGTTCAGAATGCTCTTTGATTGTAGGTGAACTATAAATCCCAGCAAGTACAACTCCCAAATGACAAAATCATAATTTTTGGAGTGATGGTCACTCCTTGTGTTGTGAGACGTTTTGTTGCCAAATTTGGTGTGATTTCATTCATTGGTTCTTTTGTTTTTAAGGAACTCATGACGCACAGAGCATTTATATATATATATATTTACACTATTTGCATTCCGCCCTTCTCACCCTGAAGGAGACTGAGGGCGGATCACAGTATACGGCAAACATTCAATGCCGATTATACAATGACAAGACAGACAACAGATAGAGGTCTATTTAGGCTTTTCCCCATCTTTTGGCACCTTTGGAGGCTGCGCTCGGTTCCAGCCACTGGGGGGTGCTGTGGCTCCATCTCCTTGCCGAAGAGCTTTCTTTGTTTGTAAACTTTCCTCCGAAAAGCTGTTCCTAAAATACCTCCCCGCTTTAATGCAATTCCTATTCATCTGCACACATTGCTGTTTTTGATCTGCGAAGCCCAATCCTGGTGTGGGAAGAACCTTCGAGTCATTCCATTGGTTTGCTTGTCTCTTTTTTCCTCCGGCAGAAACTCTAACATCAAAACCTCCCGTTCGCGGGAAGCGGACCTCAGTCGGCAGAACGTCCCGCAGAGCCTGGGCCGGCAGAGCAAGCCAGCCGAGTCCCTGCAAAGGGATATCAACCTCGTGGCTCAGGTGAGAGAGCGCACCTCTCCACGCCTTGCGCTCAGGCAGGACTTTGAGCATTGGGACATGTAGGCTGTGCAGTGGTGGTGGGAGTGTGGAGGGATGGGCGTGTTGTTTTGTGGTGTCTGCTGGGGAAGGCTTTCCACTTCGTTGTACAAGGTACAATGGCAATAAATTCTTGTGGGTTTTTTTCGGGCTATAGAGCCATGTTCTAGAGGCATTTCTCCTGACGTTTCGCCTGCATCTATGGCAAGCATCCTCAGAGGTTGTGAGGTCTGTTGGAAGTAGGAAAAATGGGTTTATATATCTGTGGAATGGCTGGGGTGGGGCAAGGAGCTCTTCCCTGCTGCAGTAGGTGTGAATGTTTAGCTGATCACCTTCATTAGCATTTGAAGGCCTGCCTGAGCCTGGGAAAATCTCTTGCTGGGAGGTGTTAATGTGTTAAAAAACTAAAATTATAACAGCTAAACAACAGAGAGGAAAAAACCAGGCACAGATTAACACCTCCCAGCAACAGATTTTCCCAGGCTCAGGCAGGCCTTCAAATGCTAATGAAGGTGATCAGTTGAAACATTCACACCTAGCTCCAGCAGACAAGAGTCCTTTGTCCCACCCTGGTCATTCCACAGATATATAAACCCATTTTCCTAGTTCCAACAGACCTCACAACCTCTGAGGATGCTTGCCATAGATGCAGGCGAAACGTCAGGAGAGAATGCCTCTAGAACATGGCTCTATAGCCCGAAAAAACCCACAAGAACCTAGTGATTCCAGCCATGAAAGCCTTCGACAATACAATTCTATTCTAAAATCTTAAGAACAGCAAATGGGAGGGTCTCGCTATGGAGACCATCCTGTCCAATCCAGTCCCATAATAACAGCAACACATTGAGTTCTGCAGCAAAGATTCTCTGGTTGGTGCAGAGAGGAATCCCACTGGCGGAGCAATGTCCATCCCTGCCCAATCTGCTTGGAATGGGATTTGCGTCATGCCGGAATGGACTCTCATGGCCATTCATAGAAGGAGAAAGGGACTAGACAAAGCAGTGTAGTCAGAGGTGACCCCCCCCCCCAATAAAAGATAGTTCATAATCAGGGAATTCATAGTTTTGCCAAGGACACCAGGCTGGAATGATATAATAAGAGTTAAGTCTAGGCCAATCTGCAATGGGACATTTCTAACAGAACAAAACGAACAGATTAAAAAAAACAAAAACACAAATTTTGCAAACTTGGTAGTTGATTAAATGTCCTTTGACCAGTATCTGGCTCCTTGGAGTGCCTCTGGTGTTGCCGCAAGAAGGTCCTCCCTTGTGCATCATGTGGCAGGGCTCAGGTTGCATTGCAGCAGGTGGTCAGTGGTTGGCTCTTCTCCGCACTCGCATGTCGTGGATTCAACTTTGTGGCCGCATTTCTGAAGGTTGGCTCTGCATCTCGTGGTGCCAGAGCACAGTCTGTTCAGCACCTTCCAAGTCGCCCCGTCTTCTGTGTGCCCAGGGGGGAGTCTCTCATCTGGTAACAGCCATTCGTTGAGGTTCTGGGTTTGAGCCTGCCACTTTTGGACTCTCGCTTGCTGAGGTGTTCCAGCGAGTGTCTCTGTAGATCTTAGAAAACTATTTCTAGATTTAAGTCGTTGACGTGCTGGCTGATACCCAAACAGGGGATGAGCTGGAGATGTCTCTGCCTTGGTCCTTTCACTATTGGCTGCTACTTCCCGGCAGATGTCAGGTGGTGCAATACCGGCTAAGCAGTGTAATTTCTCCAGTGGGGTAGGGCGCAGACACCCCGTGATAATGCGGCATGTCTCATTAAAAGCCACATCTACTGTTTTAGCGTGTTGAGATGTGTTCCACACTGGGCATGCGTACTCAGCAGCAGAGTAGCATAGCGCAAGGGCAGATGTCTTCACTGTGTCTGGTTGTGATCCCCAGGTTGTACCAGTCAGCTTTCGTATGATATTGTTTCTAGCACCCACTTTTTGCTTGATGTTCAGGCAGTGCTTCTTGTAGGTCAGAGCACGGTCCAGAGTGACTCCCAGGTATTTGGGTGCGCTGCAATGCTCCAGTGGGATTCCTTCCCAGGTAATAATCCTCAGAGCTCGGGATGCTTGTCTGTTCTTGAGATGAAAAGCACATGTCTGTGTTTTAGATGGATTAGGGATCAGCTGGTTTTCCCTGTAATAGGCAGTAAGAGCACCTAGAGCTTCGGAGAGCTTCTGTTCAACCATCTCAAAGCTCCCTGCTTGAGCGGTGATGGCACAATCATCAGCATAGATGAAGCTCTCTGTCCCTTCTGGCAGTGGCTGGTCATTTGTGTAGATGTTGAACATGGATGGAGTGAGCACGCTCCCCTGAGGCAGGCCGTTCTTCTGTTTCCGCCATCTGCTTCTCTGGCCCTGGAACTCAACAAAAAAGCTCCTGTTTTGTAGCAGGTTTCCTATGAGGCGGGTGAGGTGGTCGTCCTTTGTGATACTATACATTTTTCTCAGGAGGAGGCGGTGGTTCACAGTATCATAAACCGCTGACAGGTCTATGAAGACAGCTCCTGTGATCTGCTGCCTTTCAAAGCCATCTTCTATGTGCTGAGTCAGGTTCAGCACTTGCGATGTGCAGCTTTTGCCTTTTCTGAAGCCAGGTTGCTGTGGGATCAGACATGGGTCTATTTTTTCCATAATTCTATGCAAAATAAGTCTCTCCAGAACTTTGTAGATGTGGCACAACAGGGAAATTGGTCTGTAGCTTTTTGGGTCACTACGGTCTTGACACCAGGCTGGAATGATATAATAAAAGTTTTGGGCAATCTGCAGAAGGACTAACTGTTGCACTCCAAGACTGGAATAACCCTCCAACTTTAAAACACTACACATTGAGTAGGGGAAAAAAATCCTTTTATTGAAGATAAGTAAAAGTAGCAAAGTAAAAAAGCACTTTAAAGGAATAGGTAAATCCAATTAGGAAAGAGGATAAGCAGGAACAAATTAGTCCAAGGTAAAGTTCAGCAATGTCCAAAAACAAAGTCCACACTTCTGTAACAAAATCCATAGAACCAAGAAATGATCCAAGGCATACGTATGTAATCACAAGAGACAAAGAGTCAAACCATGAAACAAGAAATCCTTAAACATGAATCTTCCAAGCAAAACTTCCATGAGACAAGAACAAGAACTTGGCAGGATTCTAAACGATATTTCCAATGCTCAGTACTTTATATCCCCCCATTAAGCCATTCCAAGCACTCAGAAATTGGTTTCGTTTTCCCTGAATGCCTTTTATCTTTTTCTGTCGGAACCTGGCAGAACGCCAAAGGCCTTGGTCGAGCTGTCTGTTTTGGCTAATTTCTACCCACCTGTCTATATGCTCATTAGTTTCTGCAGGTGCCGAGTTGTTTTCAAGCCACAAATCCTGGGAACTCTCTGGGAGTAATTCATGTAGATGACCCAAGAGCTGGTCTCTACTGAGATAGTGTGCTTCCAGGGCCTCCAGGTCCAAAATTTCTCTTCTTGTCCAAGACTGAATGTCTCTCTGTCTTCTCTTTTGTGGGAGCAACGGTCTTCTTCCCTCTTCTTCTTCATTTATTTATTTAATTTTTTTAAATTAGTAATTATTATTTTTGTTTTTCTCTTATCTCTTTTTATATTCTTGTTATACTATATGCATATATCTATTAGGGCTGGGCGGTTTCGTTTCGTTAATTCGTAATTCGTTAATAATTCGTTAACTTTTTTAATTACAAAACGATAACGAACCATTCTGGAGCAATTTTAAAAAAAATGAATTTTTAAATACGTTTTGTAAATGCTTCGTATTTCGTATTGTATTCGTTTCGTTATTGTTTTGAGGTCGTTTCGTTATTATTTCCGCATGTCTGGGCCAGTTTTATGGTTTAATTAGTGAAAAAAAATTATAATATCACACCAACAGTCAACAACAGAGGGAGAGGGAAGCTTCAGAAGGTTTTGGAGGTTTTTTAGCGTATTTCGCGGTCGCGTCCGCCATTAACGAATCAATTCGTTATTGTTTCGGAAATCGATTCGTTAATTTTTTTCACATTTACGAAATTTCGTAAATATCGAACTTTTTAAAAGGAAAATTTTGTAATTATTTTAAATATCGAAACAAAAAAAAACCCCAAATACAAATCGATTTTAGAAACAAATTTTTCCGTTGTTACCCAGGCCTAATATCTATGTATATCTTTGTTTATTATTTTTATTATTATCATTTATTTTTATTGTTGTTTAGTTCTTATTCACTCTTACATTCTCAGAATATTTATCTCCTTATTCTCCTGTTCAAGGAAATTTAGGAATTTGTCCCAATTTGTATTTTTTGTTTTAATCAAACCCTGTGACAACCTTTGGGTTAGTAAGTCCAGATTCATGATCTCTAGAATTTTGACTATCCACTGCTCTATCGTAGGTGTTTCTTTGTCTTTCCAGAATTGCACTAGTTTTATTCTCGCCGCTGTTAATATATAATTTTTTTTTTACTTGTATTACTGTCCATGTCAAAATCAGTTATGCCCAGTAGAAAATACTCCGGCTTGAAATCGAATTTGATTTGTAAAATTGATTCTGTTTTTTTATATATCTTATGCCAAAAGGTTTTGACTTTTTTGCATTTCCACCACATGTGGATAAAGTCCCCTTTTTGTTTGCCACATTTCCAGCATTTTCCCTCTTTCTTTCCTTTATTGAACTTTCTTTTCCCTTTTTTTTCTTTTCTTTTTCTTCCCTCTTCTTCTTCCCTTGGCTCCTTTCCCCCCCCCCTCCTCTTCTTATTCCCCGTTCGTCTTTTGATACTCGATCTACCTCACACTGCCCCCCCCCCTTTTTCAAAGTATACGTACTCGTTTTATCTTAAAATGTAATTTTACTGTTTTCACCTCTTTTCTATCCCGCTCCGTTCTTGGGAGCACATTATTCTAAATAAAAACAATTTTTTTAAAAAAGGATTTCTGGAGCTGTACCGAGCATTTACCTGAACTTTGGAACTTTGTATTGACTTAACCTTTGTCTTCTTTTGGACACCTTACAATAAACTGTAATTCATATAGCCGTGGTCTGGTGGTGTTTGAGAGCAAGGTGAAGCTTAATCTGAGGCGCAACAACAAGTCTCATTGCTTGACTCTCTTCTTCAATCCTCATCCCTCCTCCTCTTCCTCTTCCTCAGGCTCGCTTCTCGCTCGGCATGTTCACGGTGTACCCCGGCTTCGGGACCATCCTTCCCGGAGGCCACCAAGCCATCACGGTGGATTGCTTTGCCGACCAAGTCGGGAAGAGCGAGGAATACTTGATCGTGGAGATCACCGACAGGGACCCCGAGGACAACCCGGCGGGCATCCTGTACATGCTGTCGGCCGAATCATGCATCCCAGGTATGCGGCAGTGGCCACGGAGCCGGCGCTGAGCACCTCCCCTCCAAGCAAGTGCATGTGCCGAGTTGTTTTCAAGTCKCAAATCCTGAGAACTCTCTGGGAGCAATTCAGGGAGTTTCTGCAGGTGACGAGTTGTTTTCAAGTCCCAAATCCTGAGAACTCTCTGGGAGCAATTCAGGGAGTTTCTGCAGGTGARGAGTTGTTTTCAAGTCCCAAATCCTGGGAACTCTCTGGGAGTTCTTCCTTAACTTCCACTGGCTTTCTCAGTAGACTTCCATTCTCTTCAGAGCTATTCCTTTGGGGCTCTCTCCCCCATGGCTGTGCTTTTTTCCTCTCCCCAAGGCTTTGTGACTGATGATGCCAAGATCATCTTCGAGGAGCACCGGATCTGCACCCGCAGCAGCCTGGACCAGGTGCTGAAGATGGTGGGCTGCGAAGGCGTGTTCGTGAAGGACGAGAACAAGTTCGTCTTCACCAACGTTCTGGTGGGTCACCAGGCCAGCGCCCGCTTCAAGATCTTCAACAACGGCCGCATCCCCTGCGACGTCATTCTGGCCACAAAGCCCATCTCTGCCAAGGTGAGCGAAGGAGAACGGCTCCGGGCTTAGGGTCACGGCTGAGCCCCCAAAGGGTAAACCCAAGCTCCCACGTCCTTGACGGGAGTGATTCCTGACACTCTGCCGATGACATGTCTCCTTCCGCAGTCCCCGGTCCGGATCAGTGACGTCTTTGAGATCCACCCCGTGCGGATGTGCATCCCCAGCCGCTCACACGCCTTTGCCACGCTGACCTTCTCGCCACAGACCATGCAGAGCTACCACTGCATTTTCGAGGCCTCCATCGATGCTCCTCCCAGGTAGCCCAACGAGAGCGAGAGGGCATAAGCGCGGTCCAAAGGGAGAACGCCTCTTTGAGTTGCTGCTTCCCAAATCATTGGGGCAGCCTATTATTATTATTATTATTATTATTATTATTATTATTATTGCTTGGAATATGTTTCAATGGGTTTTAACTGGGAATTTAAAAAATTTAACTGGGAATTTATATTTAATCCTGTTTAAATGTTTGGATATTGGGATATTTCAAATGGTGTGCTGATGCTTTGATGTTAAGCTGCTTTGAGTCTCCTCCAGGAGAGATAAAGTGGGGTATTACTTATTATTATTATTATTATTACTATATTTCATCTGCAAAAGGCCACCCTACTGGGATCTGCACACATTATACGCCAATAAATCACTTAGTCCTAGACACTTTGGAAGGGTTTGACATGTGACCCAGTACAACAAACCAGCAGAGTGATCTTGTCTGCTGTGGACTCATCTTGTTGTGTTTCTAATAATAATAATAATAATAATAATAATAATAATAATAATAATAATCCCTAGGCACTTGGGAAGTGTCCGACGTGTGATCCAATACAAAAGCCAAAAGAGTGTCTGCTGTGGACTCATCTTGTTGTGTTTCTAATAATAATAATAGTAATAATAATAATAATAATAATAATAATAATTTTTTTTGTCGTGTCAGGACAACCAGTCAAATTATATTACATTTCTAACAGAACAAAGCAAACAAAGAGACAAAATACAAAGTGTGTGAGTTTGGTAGTGGATTAAATGTCCTTTGACCAGTATCTGGCCACTTGGAGTGCTTCTGGTGTGGCCGCAAGGAGGTCCCCCCTTGTGCATGTGGCAGGGCTCAGGGTGCATTGCAGCAGGTGGTCAGTGGTTTGCTCTTCTCCACACTCACACTCTGCTGGCTGTTGAATTGGATCCCACGTCGAACCCTTCCCAAGTGTCTAAGACCAGGTGATGTATCAGCGAATAATGCATGCAGATCCCTGTCAGGTCGCCTTTTGCAACTGGCAGATGGTAATCTTGTCAGCGCTGATTGTGTTTAAGTGCAGACCAAGGTCTTAGGGCACTGCATCCAGTGTGCCGATCACCACTGGGACCCCCTTGAGTAGCTTGTGCCAGAGTCTTTGCAGTTCGATCTTTAAATCCTCATATCGTGTCAGCTTTTCCTGTTGCTTCTCTTCAATCCTGCTGTCACCTGGGATTGCGACATCGACAATCCATACTTGGTTTTGTAACACGATTGTGAGGTCAGGAGTATTCTGCTCCAAAACTCTGTCAGTCTGAATTTGGAATTCCCAGAGGAGTTTGACATGTTCATTCTCTGTAACTTTTTCCGGCTTGTGATCCCACCAGTTCTTTGTGGCAGGCAGATGGGGTTTGTGGCGCAAGTTCCGATAAATTTTCTAATATTTTCACAAACCCCGATGATATCTAGACATTTGATAATCCAACAATGTGGCAGTGAGTCAAATGCTTTTTTGTAATCAATCCAAGTTGTATAGAGGTTTGTTTTGTATTATTATTATTATTATTATATACCAGGCTTGGGCAAACTTGTGATCCCACCAGTTCTTTGTCGCAGGCAGATGGTATTTGTGGCACAGGTTCCAATGGATCATCTGAGCAATGGTGTTGTGCCTCTGTTTGTAGTCTGTCTGTCTGCGTGATCTTCTTTCAGCAGCTGAGGATGTGATCTATTGTTTAGTCTGCTTCTTTGCAGAGTCTACATTTGGGATTTGTCGTCGACTTTTCAATTCTGGCTTTGATGCCATTTATTATTATTATTATTATTATTATTATTATTATTATTATTTATATCTCGCTTTCTCTCTCCGCAAAGGACACTCAAGTGGCTTACATCAAAAGTATTTCAATACAATTTTTGAAAGTACAAATATTAAAACAGATTTAAATATCCTTAGTATTAAAAGCAGCCTCGTGTTTCCTTCTCGCTTTCAGCGTGTCTTCCAAATCCAAGCACCTGCACTTCGAGGTTGTGGGCGATGGGAACCTTCCCCAGGTGACGGTGGTGCGCCCCGTGCTGCGCAACAAGAAAGGGGCTCCGCTTCTCCTCTTCCGGAGGCTTCTGCTGGGACACACAGAGACGCTCCCCCTCCTCATCAAGAACAGTGGCAGCACCCTCGTCCAGGTGATGAAACACGGAGGGTCCGTTCACAGAATTAGGGGTGTGTGACGAATGGCAGAATGTTGCAACTCAGAGTAAGCTTCACCTTGCTTCCAAATACCACCACACAAAAGCTGTAGTTTTATAGTTTATTGAGGAAAGAATCCAAGTCAAAATAAAGAATAAGCATTGCAAAGTTCCAAAGATTCGGGTAAAATGCAGAATACAGTTCCAAAGATCTTCAGGTAAAAAACAAGGTGCAAGCAAAGACAATTGTCCCAAGAAATCCCAAGCGCGCTTGGTGGGGACGCGGGACAGGGCCTTTTCCGTGGTGGCCCCCAGTCTCTGGAACACCCTCCCCAAAGACCTTAGACAGGCCCCCACACTGGCAGTCTTCAGAAAGAACTTGAAGACTTGGCTTTTCCGATGCGCCTTCCCAGATTAGGAAATCTCCACTACCAAGTCCCATAAGCACCTTATCAAAACCAATGACTGCTGCACATCGCACTTGCCCTTGAAGCCTCATATACACCTCCTGTCACATCAGCACTTTTAATTCTTGTACCCATTACTCTGGCCTGGCCCAGTTCTTATTGTGTTTTAGTGTATTGCTTTTGCCTGTTGTTTATTTGCTTTATCCTGTTTTTAATTGTTTGATTTGCCTAGTTTGTATTGCTATGTTGTGTGTTGAGGCCTCGGCCTGTGTAAGCCGCATCGAATCCTTCGGGAGATGCTAGCGGGGTACAAATAAAGTATAATAATAATAATAATAATAATAATAATAATAATAATAATGCTTGCCAGCTAAGGTAATCCATGAAGCTTTCAGGCTAATAAGCTATGTTGAACTGACACTTTCTCTTCGTTTGCAAGAAGCCTAAATACCTTTCTAACATGAAAACATTATGCTCTCACCAACATGAAAGCATTGCGATGACCTTGGCCCGAGCTGGCTTCCCGTCTGCCAGCCAGGCGAGAACTCCGCCTGACCCGCAAATCAAGACGAGCCTGCCGGGTCAGGTCACTATCAATATCAGTACTTCAGTATCAGCATGGGAAGGAGGCAAAAGCCTCCCCACCTGTTTGCTATCTCCTTCGATAAAATTCTTTTCTTCTGAGAACCGCTGCGTTGTTGACTCTCCACTGTCTGTGGGAGCCTCAGAAAAAGACCTAGAAGCAGGCCCAGGGATCTGAGGCACAGAAAAAAAGCCAGGAATCTGAATCCCATCATCCTCATCATCCGGGAACATCTCAGCCACAACACAGAAATCCATTGTATTTCCGTTCAGTTTTCATTTGGAATTTTGGGTGCCTCCTCCCCCCCGGTCTATTTTTGGGACGATTCTAGGAGATTAGGAATGGGGCTGTTTGGATTTGTGATTTGGGACCCGGAGTTCTGTATCTGTTTAGGGAGGGGGACCCAAAATTCAAAACGAAAGTAGAACGGATGTGTGCAGTTTTGCATGCTCCTACTGTTGCACCTCAGAGTAGATTCACCTTGCTGAAAACAACAAACTGCACACAGCCAGAAGTCTTTATGGTTTAATAAAAATAAAAGGTAAAAAGTTCTTAACAGCAAAGGTTAATGTTCCAAAAGATCAATATAAGATAGCACTTTGAAGCTTAATCCAAAAAGGCACCAGCAAAGCAAAAACCCAAGAGAACATGACAAAGTCCTGAAACCATGAACTGCTGCAGCTCAGGATAGATTCACCTTGCTCAAGACACCACCACACACCAAGGCTGTAGGTTATGTAGTTTATTGAGAAAAATCAAAATCAAAGCAGAGAAATAAAGTTGCAAAAGTTCAATAGGCAAAACAGAGTCTTAAATACAAAGGTAAAGTTCCCAAGTTCAATCCGACCTTGAAGGCTCTGCAGATTTAGATAAGGAGGATCGCTTGCAATTCAGGGTTCACCACAGTGTGAGGCTTGCTAACAAGAGGGAGGTTAGAGGTCAAAGGGATGCATTCATGCTGGGTGTTGCAACCCAGATCAGGAAACGAGGCCATAAGATTAAATTCACCACACTTGACTGTGGGAAAAACAATCCTTTTTTATAGATGAAAAATGGTTACAAAATAGAGGAAAATGCAAAGTCAAAATGCCACAGTAAAACTCAGCAGTCAGGAATATCTCTGAACTAGATCAAAATTCCAAAAGCAACACTATAAAAACCTGGAACCTGTTAGCATCTCACTAACCGTACTTGGAAACTAGAAGCCTCTGGGAAATGCAGGCCATGGGAAACGGGAATTCTGCCAAGGTAATGCCTCAGTCTAAATGATGCTTGATCTAACGAGACAGCCCGGGGGGAGACACTTAAAACTAAGAAACTGTTTCGGGACATGCCTCCAGGCTTGGAAGCCTCCTTTTCCTTTAATCTACTTGACCTTCGCAGACTCTGTGATTCACTCCTGTTTTTCCAAATCTGTACTCTTCTAGCCTCATTAAAAAAAGGCAGGTGTTCGCTCCTCTGGAGAGTTATCACCGCTTGATTCTGAAACATTCTCATCAGGAAGTATAGTTTCACTTTCCCAGCCACTGCCCTCAGAATCAACAGTTTCCAAACCATCAGGGACAAATTCATGTTCAGTAGCCTGTTCAGTTGCATCAGGAAATACAATCAAAGAATCAGGTTCAGGTTCACACGGAGGCTGAACCCCAACACTGGGAAAGTATATTAAACGGGCTGTTTGAAGTCAACTCTTTGTCAGTGCAACCTCTGCAAAAACCCTGGTAACTTCCCCGGATTGCCTTGACTTTTGGGCCATGCTCTTGGCTCCTTGGGACTTTGTCTTGTTCTTGGCTCCTTGGGACTCTGTCATGCTCCCATGGAATCTTGTTTGATCAATGCCTTTGGATTATGCTTCATGTTGGTTACCATTGGACTTTGGAAACTTTGCCTTTG